TAGATTTGAAAATTATTGAAAATAAAAATCACTTTTTTCAATATTTTATTGGAATTGTCGCAAAAATAAATAAATTTTTACTCAGTAATATTTACAAAAAAAATTTTAAAGTAAATAATATTGTCGGAAACAAAGGCCTCCCAGAAAAGCCCTCTGGCGATTTGATGGCGTAACATGTTGACATACACTTACAAACTCGTAAACACGCCGAATACGATCGCTTTTTGCGTTGCTTTTTTTGCGCCTTTTTTTGTTTTAGCGCGCCGCTGATCCGTCCGATGTGGAGGAAGGAAGAAGAAGACGCTTTCAGCGATCTCAAGGAACTAAATCCCATGCCATGGGTGTTTTTTCGCTCAAAACGGGGTAAAATTATCAAAAAAAACACACCGAAAAAGGTGGAAAAGATAAGTTTGATGGCTCAATTGCATCGGAAAAAGGGTGATAGAGGGATTGATGGAGGTGAAAACAAGATTTGCAGCGATTCTGCAGTCGTTTTTATATTATACTTGAGGTTTGATGGAAAAATTGACAAAAAAGTGGTAAAAAGGAGAAGTTTCTGGCTGAAATTTAATTTTAAATTGAATTACAGGCGATGACAAAAATTTACAGTTTTTTTTTTCATTTTACCTCCCAAAATTATCGATTTACAGTCATTTTTTCCCGAAAAATCAAAAATTAAAACGGACCGTGCAATCAAAAAAGTTGAATTGATTTTTGCACCGTGCGAAGTTTATTAAAACTCAATTTGACCGCACTGTGCGAGAACAAAAGCGACAAAAGTCAACTGCACTGTGCACAGAAACCAAAAACTCATTTTGTTGTCTGCACTGTGCAAAAAAATAAAAAGTGCATTGCACTGTGCGAAACACAGCGACAAAAGTCCACTGCACTGTGCGGTTTAACCGAAAACTCATTTTCCTGATTGCACTGTGCAAAAAATAACAAAAGTGCATTGCACTGTGCGAAGCGTGTGAAAACTTGACCGCACCGTGCGAAGCGAAGCGACAAAGATTCCACTGCACTGTGCGGTGAAAACCAAAGCCTCATTTTTTGACTGCACTGTGCAAAAAATTGCAAAAGTGCACTGCACTGTGCGAGACGAGCGACAAAAAGTTCGCTGCACTGTGCGGTGAAAACCGAAAAGCTCATCTTCCTGACTGCACTGTGCAAAAAATCAAGAAAATGCATTTGCACTGTGCGAAGAATTTGGAAGTTTGACCGCACTGTGCGCTTGGAAAATCGGCTGTAACTTCTCGAGTTTTGATTGGAAAAAATTGATTTTTTGTGGAAAAATTATACGCCTGAAGTGTAGTATTGCCTGAAATTTTCAAGTCAAAAATCGAAAGAAAAATCGACTTTTGGCAGTTTTTAGGCTAAAAATTTCATTTTTCCGTTAAAATCAATCTGTCGGGAAAATAATGAGCACTTTTTTGGGTCGAAAATCGCATCAAAAATGAATTATGTCGCGACAAAATTAAATTTCTTTCCTCCTCAGCGACACAATCAGCACAGCGACATGTGATCATTATTTTCCCGACAGACGGATATTTAGTCAACATATGTTTAAAAACCCCAAAAAATCGACTGTTAACAACCCCCAATCCTCTGCGCGAAACGTCCGTGGACTGGTCGGTCTCTCGACGGCGTGTTTTTTATAAAATGAGCTCCCTTTTTTTTCCATCGACGCCTTCCGGCGATCCCGAAAAACGGTCACACTCCAGAATCTGCAGGGGTCAAGGTCGGGTAATTGTTCCGCAAACCCTCCGGGCTTCCACTTTAATCCGAATTGTTTGTTCGAAATTTGGCGACAATTCGATTGAAACGTCAAATTTATGGGTCGAAGCGTACGGGGAATGAGGTTTGATTGTTTGGCGAGGTGATAATGGAGTTGGTGTGACCTAATTTTAATTGGGAATTAAAAAAAATTTTTTTTATTTATTTTTTTTTTTTTTTTTTTGATGGTAAAACAATACATTTTTTATGTCTTGTCAATACAATAAAGAGTTTTTTTATCAAATTTTCATCCAAAAAAAATTTTTTATTAAAAAAATCCATAATTTCGAAAAAAAAATTTTTTTTTAAATCTGCACAGTGCGAAGGCACAATTTTTTGCACGGTGCAGCAACCTTTTTTTCGATTTTATTTTTTTTCGCACAGTGCAAATGTCTTTTTTTTGTAATTTGATTGTTCTCTGCACTGTGCGAAAAATTTGCGACAACATTTTTTGACCGCACGGTGCGCAAAATCAATGTAATTGCACGGTGCGAAAAAATCGTCTTGGAATTTCCTGCACGGTGCGAAAAAAGTGAAATTGCACGGTGCATCAATGTTCTCAAAGTGCACAGTGCGAAAAAATTGTCTTGAAATTTGCTGCACGGTGCAAAAAAAAGAGATTTTGGCGACAAAATTTTACGTTGCACTGTGCAGAGGATGCAAGTTGAAATCGCGACAATTTTCTGGAATGCACAGTGCAAAAGTGAGAAAGTTCTTTTGCACGGTGCGAAAGAATTTTATGGCGACATGTCGCGACAAACAAAGAAAGCTCAAAAAGAATTTTCCGCACAGTGCAAAAAGTGAAAATGAGAAATATTTTTATCGCACAGTGCAAAAAAAATAAAAATCTATTTTTTGCACGGTGCAAAGAAAAAACAAAAAACAAAAAGTGCACAGTGCAGATTTTCAATCTGTCGCGAAAATAATGAGCATTCTGTCGCATCGAAAATCGCATCGCCGCCGAGAAAATGGGTTGATTGCACTGTGCACAGAAATCAACAACCCATTTTCCCGACTGCACTGTGCAAAATTAACAAAAGTGCATTGCACTGTGCGGAGAATAGGGAAACTTGACCGCACCGTGCGCTTGGAAAATCGGCTGTAACTTCTCGAGTGTTGTTTGGAAAAAAATGATTTTTTGTGGAAAAATTGTTCACCCCAAATGTAGTATTGCCTGAAATTTTCAAGTCAAAAATCGAAAATTTTTTTTTTGAATTTTGGCAATTTTTAGGGTAAAAATGTCATTTTTCCCATAGAAATTAGTCTGTCGGGAAAATAATGAGCACTCTGTCGCAGTGAAAATCGCATCGTAGAAGAGGAAAAATGAGTTGTATCGCGGCAAAATCCAATTTTTTACTTCAGCGACGCGAAAAAAAATTTTGTTCATTATTTTCCCGACAGTCTGATACTGTAGAGCAAAGCATTTTAGTCTTTTTTTCTATCACAACATAAAAATTTTACGGTGACATTTTTTTCACTTCAGCGGCACAAGCGCGATATTTTACTCATTATTTTCCCGACAGACTAAATTTTTCTCAAAAATTGTTTGTTTTGCTGCACCCTCAACAATCATCAAAAAACACCTCAAAATCTGATGAGTTTCTCCCGCAAAAATGAGCGATGAAAATCCCTCGAAAAAATCTGGAAAATAGCAATTTTCTCGGAATAAAGAGCCGTTCAGAAGGGGGGTTCTCTTTTGACTTATGACAATAAAATAAATTACCGCCAAACGCCATGTTTTTTTGCGTGATTGGAGAGCACAAGTTTTTGATTCAGAACACGTTCCGTTGCGGCGATTTTGCGCGAGAAACGAAGGGTGGGGGGAGAGACTGAAAGTCGCCAAAAGAAATGGACTTCCAGACACAATAAAGACGAAATTTTGGGGGAAAATAGGGACTGTATGGAAGGAAGAGACCCTGTAAAATGAAATGGAAATCTTTTTACACGTATTTTAAAAATTTTTTGGGTAGAAAAAGTCGATTTTTTTCAAAAAAAAATCGAAAAAAATGATTAGCTTTTGATGATAGTAAAATTTTCTAACCAAGCAATGCTTGAAATTTTTGCCTCACACTATGTAATAGCATTTTCATAAAGTGCATCGACATTTTTTTGCTTTCGCACTGTGCGAAAACAAAGTCACTTTGCACTGTGCAAATGGTTTTTTTGGGCTGTCGCTCGCACCCCGAGTTTTTTTGCACAGTGCAAAAATCAAAAACCTGTCCGGCGACGTGCACTGTGCGAAATCAAAGTTTCACTTTGCACTGTGCAATTTCTTCCTTTTTGCACCGTGCAAATGGTTTTTTTGGGCTGTCGCTCGCACCCTGACTTTTTCCGCACAGTGCAAAGGCCAATAATCAGTCCGGCGACGTGCACTGTGCGAAAATAAAATAAAGTTCACTTTGCACTGTGCAATTCGATATTTCAAATGCACAGTGCAAACCAATAAAAAAGATGAATGCATGGTGCGAAAAAATTGGGGACTTTTTTCGCGGCAAGTGTCCATGCACTTTATTTATGAAAGTTTTTTTATCAATTTTTTGAATGTATGGAAAGAAGAGATCCAGGAAAATAAAATGAAGATGGCGTATTTTAAGAATTTTTAGAAAAAAAAGTTGATTTTTTTAAAAAAAAATGTAAGAAAATTTTTTTTTTATTTTTTCAATTTTCAAAATCGAAAATTGACATCGTATTCGAACCATGATGTACAATTTCCCAACAAAAAACCAAATTTTTCAGCCCAAACCTCCCAAAGAATCGATCAAAAAAGTCCTTTCGCTGTCCACTCTCTTCATTTCCCGTACTGTCTTGACCGGAAATTTCTGTCAATATCTGGGATGTGCCAATAAACAAAAAGCTCAAACTTTCAGGCACTAATTTTTAGTCCACACAGATCGTGTATGCAAAATCTCAAACAAATCCGAGCACCATGCCTCGAGAAATAAAAAAATTTCGAAATTTTGGGACTAACGTCTAAAACAATATTTTAATCTCAAAATTTATGTTTAAAATACGCTTTACAATATTTAGTGGTTCTTTTCTCATAACGTATATCTCATTTCTCTTCTATATTTTCTCCAAAAACGCCAAAAAAGATCAAAAAACCATAAAAAATCCAAAAAATTGAAACCATTCCATTTATACGAGTAAAATCAAAGTAATCAAGGGTCAAACGTAAAAATAAAATTAACTATTAATAATATTAGACAACAGTCAATTCAGGAGGGCGATTATTTCCGTCTTCGGTCAGCCTCGGTGGCGGTTGGCGGGGGAGGGGGGCCTTTTCGGTCCAATTCTTGCAAATACTTCTCGAGGAGACGTTCCCTTTTGTCCGGCTCTTCGTTCAGGACTAGGTAGCGTTTGTCATTCTGAAATTTGGAGGTTAAAAAGCGAAAACCAACAACAATTTTTTCGAAATAAATCAATTTTCCTCAAAAAATACCATTTTTCACTCAAAAATGAAAATTTTTCAATTTCCAGACCGTATTTTAACCTCGAGAATAATCGTAAATTCAATCTTCTTGCCTTGGAACCTCTATAAAACCCAAAAATCTTCCCGATTTTTCACAAAAACTTATTATTTCTCCCTCAAAATCATATCTTCCCAAAAAAATCTAATTTTTTGCTGAAAAAAATCAGTTTTTCCTTTAATTCAATCCCTAATTATCCTTGAAAATCCCTTCTCCATCAAATCTCGGACCTTAAAAATCCACATTTCACCTTTATTTGCCTTCAAAAAAAAATTTTATAGCCAAAAATTCAATTTTTCCGCAAAAAATCCCATTTTTCCTTCAAAAAAACCAGTTTCTCATCAACATTATTCTTCAATACCCTATATTATTCCTCCATTACCTCTTTTAGCTCCCACAAATCCACATTTCAACCATTTTTTCCTTCAAAAAAAAATTTTTATAGCCAAAACTTCAAATTTCCCCCAAAAATCCAATTTTTCCCCTAAAAAATCCCATTTTTCCTTCAAAAAATCCCGTTTTTCGTCAACATTACCCTCCGATATCCTTTATTATTTCTCCATCATCCTTTTTATAACCCAAAAATTTCATATTTCACCCATTCTTTCCTTCAAAAAAAAATTTTATCGCCAAAAATTCATTTTTTCCCCAAAAAATCCCCATTTCCCAGAAAAATCCCGTTTTTCCTTCAAAAAATCCCGTTTTTCGTCAACATTACCCTTCGACATCCTCTATTATTTCTCCATCATCCTTTTTATAACCCAAAAATTTCATATTCCACCCATTCTTTCCTTCAAAAAAAATTTTTATCACCAAAAATTCATTTTTTCCCCAAAAAATCCCCCTTTCCCCCAAAAAACCCCATTTTTCCTTCAAAAAATCCCGTTTTTCGTCAACATTACCCTTCGAAATCCTCTATTATTTCTCCATCATCCTTTTTATGACCCAAAAATTTCATATTCCACCCATTCTTTCCTTCAAAAAAATATTTTACCAAAAATTTTTTTTCACCAAAAATCCAACTTTTCCCCCCAAAAAAATTCCTTTTTTCATCCTCTCAAACTCCTCCAATCCCTGTTTCACCTACCTCCAACACCGCCAAGATGTCTTTCAAGTGTTGTTCATTCTCTTGAATGGTCTTTTGCGACTGATACGTGATGATTTTGGTCTCCCTTAACAGGTCATCAAACTCTTCATAAATCCGGTCCTTCGTCAATCTGGCCCATTCGTTGAACTCTCTTTCGGCGCGTCGATCGCTTGTCACCAATTTCTCGTACTTTTCGTCGGTTTCGAGGACCTTTCGGGCGTCGCGCCACTTCGTCCTGTAGTTGATTTCCTCCTTCTCCGAGAGCCATTGATAGAACTGCTCTCGGCGCTTCTTTTCCAGGTTGTGGGTGTGGTCGGAGAAGAGGCGCTCCTTGGTCGACTTTTCCAGCAGGTCAATCTCATCGTAGCGCGGGTCTTTTTTCAGCAGTTTTCGGCCATCGTGGTAGGAGAGATCAGGGTTTTTGATCTGAAAAATAAAAAAAAATTACTCCAAAAAGTAATATTTTTTAAAAAATCATCTTTCAAGGCCCATTTTTGGCAAAAATTTGCAAAAAAATCCAAAAAATTCGGTCAAAAATTTAATATTACCATTTTCAGAAAGTGCATGGACATTTGTCGCGGTCCGCACCGTGCACAAAAATTATCGACTTTTTGCACCGTGCATTCATCTTTTTTTGGTTTTGCACTGTGCATTCAACTTTTTGTTAGTTTTGCACTGTGCATTCACTTTTTTTTGGTTTTGCACTGTGCATTCACCTTTTTTTAGTTTTGCACCGTGCATTCACCTTTCTTTTGTTTTGCACCGTGCATTCATCTTTTTTTTGGTCTTGCACTGTGCATTCAACTTTTTCTTAGTTTTGCACTGTGCATTCACCCTTTCTTGATCTTGCACTGTGCATTCACTTTTTCTTGGTTTTGCACCGTGCATTCACCTTTCTTTTGTTTTGCACTGTGCATTTGAAATATCGCTGCGACACGGGCTTTTCTCAACTGCGGCGCCGCGGGTTTGCTCAAAAATCTGCACAGTGCAAACGGTTCTTTTTGACGTTTGCACCGTGCACAAAAAGGAAAATGCACTGTGCGTTGGCGACAAGCGTGGGAAAAAAGTTCAAGCTGCACAGTGCGAAGGCAAAAAAAACTTTTTTTTCAACTTTTTCGCACAGTGCAAAATTAAAAAAAAAAAAAAAAAAAGAATTTGTACAGTGCAAACGATTTGTTTGAGATTTGCACTGTGCGCAAAGGGAAAAATGCACAGTGCGTTAGCGACAAGCGTGGGAAAAAGTTCAAAATGCACTGTGCAAAACCAAAAAAAAAATTTTTTTTCTCCATGCACTCTATGAAAATGCTAAAATTGACTGCACAGTGCGGACAAAAAATCTCCCGCACAGTGCATTTTTTCCAACTTTTTCGCACAGTGCAAAATTTAAAAAAATTCAAAAAAAAAAAATAAAATTCCAAAACCCAAATTTGATTTTCCCAATCAACTTACGATATCAATAAGCATTGTTTGGAATAATTCTTCTTGTTCTTGGTGCTTTTGGCGTTCGCTTTCTTTATTTCGTTCCTTCATGTGTTCGCCAAGTTCTTCCGCGACCGCCTTTTTTCTTTCTTCCAGAGCCTTGTCGGCGGCGGACATTTCCTGCTCGCCGTCGTCGGGTTCTTCGCCTTCTTCTAGCTGAAAATACGGGCATTTTTTGAGGGAAAAACTAAAAAATTTTGCGTAAAATACGGGAAGCATTAAGTTTATGAAAAAATAAATGCATAAAGTCCACAATACCGCTAAAATACGGTCTTAAAACCCCAGAAAATGATAGTTTTTTCAATTTAGAATCAAATATTTCACCAAAAAAAAACAAAAAAAAAACAGTAATTTCACTCTAAAACAATATAAAAATACGACTATTTTTGCTAAAAAAACTCAAATTTTCTCTAATAAACAATATTCTGAACCTTTACCAACCCCATTTACTGAAGAAAAATAAATTTTTTCCTCCAAACAACATTTTTTCCCCCCAAAAAAATAAATTTTTCCCCCAAAAAATCCCTACCTCGACTTCCTTCTCCGGCAATGTCGCTGCATATTCTCTAAAGAGCTCTTCTCTCAGCGAACTATCCAGGTATTTGTGGCGATATCTTTCATCCGAATCAATCTTTTTCTTCAAATGGGACCATCTCGACTTCCTGTGGAGATCGGGCTGTTCCTTCAACAACTCCTTGAACTTCTCTTTGGCTGCTTCTTTTTCCTTTCTCTTTTCCTCCTTTTCTTGTTTGTAGAGTTCGGCGACAAAGTCTTTGAACATCTCTTCGCGATCTCGCATCTTTTCCACTGCTTTGAATCTGTCGTCCTTGCCAAACTTGGACGAAAATGAAGTGAAAGTGGATCTGAAATAGGGTGAATGACATTATCAAGTTCATCAAAACCTTTTGCAAAGTGCAAAAAAAAATATTTTTGTTTTCTGCACTGTGCATTGGCAGCAAAAATGCTTACTGCACAGTGCAAAAGAAGCAAATTATCGTCTGCACCGTGCAAACAACATTTTTTCTTTTCATTGCACCGTGCAGTAACGATAAATCCTTTTCAATTCGAACCAAAAAAATTTCCGCACAGTGCAAAATCATCGAATTGTCGTCTGCACCGTGCAAATGAATTTTTTTCTTTTCACTGCACCGTGCAGCAGCGACAAATTCTTTTCAAATCCAGCGAAAAAAATTTTCGCGCTGTGCAAAACAAAAAAAATATTTTTGCACCGTGCAGCAGCGACAAATCCTTTTCAAATTCAACAAAAACATTGTTTGCACTGTGCAAAATAATAAAAAAAAATCTGCACTGTGCAGCAACGATAAATCCTTTTCAAATCCAACCAAAACATTTTTCGCACAGTGCGAAATCATCCAATTGTCGTCTGCACCGTGCAGATAAAAATTTTTCCTTTTCACTGCACCGTGCAGCAGCGATAAATCCTTTTCAAATTCAACCAAAACATTTTTCGCACTGTGCAAAATCATCGAATTGTTGTTCTGCACCGTGCAGACGCGACAAATCCTTTTCAAATCCAACAAAAACATTTTTCGCACTGTGCAAAATAATTTCAAAATATTCCGCACCGTGCAAATCTCATTTTTTTTTCTTTTCACTGCACCGTGCAGAAGCGATAAATCTTTTTCAAATCCAACCAAAAACATTTTCGCACTGTGCAAAACACTTTTAAAATAGCACCGTGCAGCAGCGATAAATCCTTTTCAAATTCAACAAAAACATTTTTCGCACTGTGCAAAATAATTTCAAAATATTCCGCACCGTGCAAACTCTTCCAACCCAAAAAACCCCATAAAGAATCCCAAATTTCACTTACTTTCCATGCAGATTCGCTTCCTCCAACAACAATTTGAACTGCTCCTTGGCTTCTTTGGCCTTTTTCTTCTTTTCCGCTCGTTCAATTTCAATTTTCTCCTTACAGTAGGCATCAAATGCGGCTCTTCTTTCATCTACAGCCAAGAGTAAGTACCTCGGATCATAAATAATCTTGCTGAGTTCTCTTTGGTAGGTCGAGGAGGCGCTCACATTCTTTTCGTTGAGGAGGTCTCTGAACATTTGGATTCGTTCTTCCAGCGGGATGTTGGCTCTCTTTTCGCGGGCTTCGATTTCGGCTTTGATGGCGGGATCTTCTTCTTTTTCTACTGGCTTCTTCTTTTGTTGCTCTTGTTTTCTCTGCTCTTCTTGTCGTTTTCGTTCATCAGCGAGCTTTTGGGCTCTATAAAGATCAAATTAGCTCAACATTCACCTAAAATAAGGTCCCATCTTCTCCGACATCCAATTCTTTAGCCCAAATCTTCCTCCAATTTCTTCGGGATTCCTAAAAACCAAAAAAAAAAAATGCAAAAATCTTACTTTTTCTCCTTTCTGCTCTTCTTTTTCACCGGTTCTGAATTTTCCGAATCATCACTGTCCCCATCATCCTCTCCAATCTTGATATTATTCTCCGCGTCCGAGTCCGGTTCCTCCGAGGGTTGTTTCTTCTTTGGTTCCGGCGGTTTTGCGACCAATGCGTCCACATCGGATCTGTTATAAAGTTCCGGCGGACGTTCCCAGACCGAGATCCTCGTTGACGGATTGAAGAAGAAAACTCTGCGGTCGCTGGTCCACACCACACACCACGGGGTTCCTGGGACCGCACTCGACGAGATTGGGCGTCCTTTGTCATCGCCCGAGGGCTTGGGTTGGGATTGGCCATTAAATGGCTGACCGTTGAAAACTCCGGGAATCGGGCCTCCAAAGGGCTGGCCTTGAATGGGAGCGCCGGCGAATCCTTGCATGGGCGCAGCGCCGGTGAATGGTTGGGCAAACGGTGGGTTCTGCGCTTGGAGGGGGTTCAGAGCGGGGTTGAGGACCGGGTTGGGGACAGTCGACTGGACTGGGGGATATTGCTTGGCTGGGCCGGCGCCGGCGGCTGAAAACAGAAGTTTTAGAACGTATACTTCATATACTTCATTCTACGTCCATAAGATTCTATTGCAAATTTTTTCCGCCCAAAAAAAGTGCCATCTTCAAAAATCGACATTATTTTAGTCCAAAATTTGCAATTTTCCTCTTCAACTCCTTGATCCAAGCAGCTCCATTCAATCTAAACACAGAACAAAAAAAATAAAACCCTTACCTTCAGCTTCCTTCAGCGCATCCGGCTTCGTCCAAGTGTTTTCTTGAGTGATCGCATTGTAATAATACTTTCTTCCGTCTGGAGCCGAGAACTCTTGCCATGCCTTGGCTGGATCGCCGGCTGGTCCCGGGAATCCTCCAGGAGGGAAACCACCAGGATACTGAGGGTTGAAATTCTGACCAAAGGCTCCTGAAACGACAAAATTTAGAAATTTCCATCCAAAACAATAGAAAAACATCTTAACTAGGTTAGAAATCGGCTGCAATGTGCGTTATTCGATAAAATTGATTTCTAAAGGTATCAATGAAAAAAAAAATTTTTTTTGATTTTTACAGTCAAAACGCGTCATAACGCACAGTGCGGCCGTTGGCTAATTAACGTTACAGTCATAGAGAGACGGGAACATCTGATCTTGGCGTGCCAATTCCAACGCATCCTTGTCCTTACGTGTCTGCCAAAAAGTTACTAAACCCCACAAAAGAGATGCATAAATAAAAGAAAAAAATTATATTATCCTTACCTGCCTGAAAGTGAATTACAAAATTCAAAACCCCGTGAAAAGTTACCGTAATCCTTACCCTGTTTAGCTTGCGCCTCTTTTTCTTCCCTTTGGTTCTTTTCGATGAGACCTTGAAGTTCGGTTTGCTCCATAACAACAGCATCCGCCGGCTTCTCCCAGACGGTCTCCCGGCTAATTGCATGGTAATAGTATGATCTTCCATCTGCAGTCTTGGTCTCCACCCATAACTCCTTCTCGGGAGGAACTCCGGCTATCTGAAATAGCAAAAATTATATTACCTTCAATATTTGACCTCTAAAAACCAAAACAATATAATTTTAAAGACTTACCCTTTTCAATTTCTCGGCTTGAGATGCAGCATTTGGCCTGGGGGCTGGCGCAGCAACTGGAGGACGGTTGAATCCATAAGGAGGCACACTACCGTAAGGACGAGGTCCGCCTGGTGCAACACCTGGAGTCGGAAAGAATGAGCGCTGTTGCTGTGGAGGAGCGACAAATCGTGGACGGAATTGGCCAGGAGGACCTTGCGGACTGAAAGATGCGGATTATACAAGGCTTAGAAAATATGGATCTGCAAAACTATATTTTAGATATTGAACTATATAAAAACAGCTAAGAACCGCAGAAGAGAAGAAATTTTACTCCTCAAAACAAATTCAATCAGCTCAGAAATGTTTTCACACAGCTCTGTCAAAAATTTCAAGGCGTTTGTAACGTTGATTATAGGAAAAAATTTCATTCAATAAAATAGCTCAGTTATAAAGTAAAGCAAACCAAACAAGATGAATTTAGCATAAATCTAAACGAATGAACGCTATCTATGTGCTTCAATGCCTCCAACGGCAACCAAAGCATCTCCAGCACAAGCATCTCTAAAGTCTTCCCCCTGATACCTTCAATTCCCATGAATAACATACACACATCGCAATTCCTAAAAACATAACAAGAAAAGGCAAAAACATACTCGTCCTGTCCATTCGCATACTCTGGTTGTTCCATTGCGGGGTCCAACGAAACTTCTTTCCTAAATTCAAAAGATTAGCACAGCACTCCGAGGACCTACAACGTGATCGCCATCGATGGCAAGTCTCAACAAAAACGCGTTTCACCGAAAATTTGCATATATTCGACGCTGGCAATGGAGAAACTCGAAGGCCTCAAACACAGAAAAAAATTAACGAAATTTTTTCGGAAATTGCTAGCAACGCTTGCAACGGAATGCCAAAATTCAGGGCAATCCGGGTGAGACGCAGAAAAGTCCGATAAACAAGAACTTTGAAGCAGAAAATCATTATTAATCGGCGTTGAAAAGAATTTCTGCTCATCTTATAATAGAACGCAACATTATTAGGACTTTTTTTATTAGGAACAAGTTTTGAAATTGTTGAAATTTCAATTTACAGCACAATACAACAAAAAATATAGAATTGTCATAATAATCAAACTCAAAATCTAAAACTGATTCAAAATTCATAGGAATGTGCATAGGAAAGATATGGCTCTTCTATTATTCTTCATCGGATTCCAGAAAGTTTTGATGTTCATCGAAGTCTAGCGGAGGCGGAGTTGTCAAAACGTCATCAAACTTGTTGTGGTCAAGGCTTTCGGCTTCATTTTCCACCGGGGTGTTCTCGAAGTCAACACTGCTGTTGCTCCGGCTGTGGCAGGCTTCGGACTCTTCTTGAGCGGGAGATGTCGCGTTCGTTTCGTCAGAAGCCGATTCTTGAATTTCCATGCTTTCTGCTTGAGGTTCAGGAGCGGTATATTCAGCTTCCGTTCTCTGCTCGTTCAATTCTTCCATCTCGACATCGTTGGACGTATTTGAGGGTGCTAGGACTTCCGGGGTCTCCGATTCCTTTGAATTTTCGTCAGTCGTAGAAGAGTTCTCAAGCGCTACTTCAAGAGCATCTTCGGCAGCCGGCTGTTGGTCAGCATCTGGCTCTGTGATGTCGTTATTAACATCGTTTTCAGATGGCATTAATGCAGAGTCTTCCACCACCCTTCCATTTGAAAAAGATTTGTCTGCGGCTGTTTCATATAAAGATTCTGTTCCTTCTGGACTTTCACACAGAGATTGCTCGTTCTCAATCGCTTCTTCATCTCGATTACTTTCAGCAGCGGTTGATTCTTGTGCTATAACACTTTCAACGAGGTCATATAAGGCGCTTTCGACTGCAGATTTTTCATTTCCTGACGATTCCGCTTCCTCTCCTTCTGCCGACCCTTCAATAGTCACCACCTCTTGCTCGTCCGAAATGGTAATCACTTCAGGCGGAGGGTTTCGCAAATAAAGCCGGCGACGTCCCCGGCGTCTAGCTGGTGCGCAGTTCACGACGATCTGGCACTTCTGCGACTCAATATCTCTTAGCAATTGTTCTCCTGCATCAAATGTCGAACTCGAGGAAGCGAGGTTCCAATCGGACGCTTGTCCAATCGGATGCATGTCCAAGAATTCCTTCAGTTTGGCCTCCAACGCCGATCCATTCCTCCTCTTCTTCTTCTCCATTAGCATGTCGGCTAAATTTAGAAAATGAGTACAAAACTAATGCTCTCATATTTGTTTTCTAATGAACCTACTTAATTCTGCCGTTCGCTTCCTAATTCTTTCCCCAATGGTTTTGCTGTCATCATCGACCAATCCCGGTCGTTGTCGCCGCTTTTTCTGCGGAATATTGACTTCAGTCACAGACGGCGAAGCTTTTGGCTGAACGTCCGACTTCCGTGGCCTTCCTCGCTTTTTCGGAACTTTAACGTCTTCATTGCCTTTTAATTTTCTTAGCGGCTTTTTAAACAACTTTGTCTGTGTAGTTGCAGACTTAGTATGGACCGTTTGAGTTGAGATATTCCTAGTGCGAACGACATTGTCAACGATTGTGACACTCTTCTGTTTTTGCGAAGAATGAGATTTTCTGAGGCTGGACTGAGGAGTATTGTGGGTAGGAGTTCCGCTCATAATCTAAAAATTTTTGGTTAAATCCCATTTTGGGCTTATACAACAACCGCTATAAATCTAAATTACAACAAAAATATTAATTATCTTACAAATTGGCAGTTTCTGTTTATAACGATGACATCCTGCTGATACTTCCAAAGCCACTCTGGTCCAACAAATTTCATCTTTAGATTTTCAGGGGAAAAAAAAGAAAGAAGGAGATCAATGCCTGATAAAACGAAAATTAATTCTGCTTTAAAGAAAAGAGGCGGGAAGGCTGCTCTCCGATCTGCGCCCTACGTGAATTATTATTGTCGTTATGGTGCATTGCGCAATAGTTGATATATGCGGAGTGAATGATTTTTTCAGGCTGTACTGATGTTGTCAGCTACCCTGTTAGTTCGTTATAATCAGTGTGCTTCCATTGAAAATGCGGATGTAATAATTGATGTCAAGTATAATATTGCAACCCGATGCTCTTATTTTTATGAAAAATGATTCTTCAAAAACGTAAAAAGTGCCAATTTGATCTACCCGAATTGCGATTTTTTGTTGACAATGCATTTCGGATAATGCGAAAGTCAAAATAGCCTCAACTTCGGGCGCAGCCTGCGTACAATTTCATTGTGCGGAACAATTTTTTGTGGTTCTTTCTCCGGCATCTGCTACTGTGCTGCTGTTCCTGGGACTTCCTCTGACGAAAATCTGTTAGTTGCGACAGGATGAGTGACGACGAGACCAGGTCCACCGAGTTCTCGGACGAAGAAGTTGGAGAAGATGATGAAGGTTAGTAATTTAGCGTTTTTCGTTCGGGTTTAGGTGTGACAGGCTAGAAAAAAACTAAAGAAGACGCTTTACACTATGAAATGTCTATTTTCAGCCACTATGGCCGAGGAGGAGCTGAATAATGACGACGATGACGCGGACGACGAACTTCGGATGTTGAATGAGGAGAACGAGATGTCAGTGGAAGAATTGAGGCGGAAGTACTATGGGGAAGCAGCTGTTGCTGAAGTTCCGGCTGGCAATGGACCAGCAGCATCTAGCAGTGCTGCCGGAGAGCCAACTACCTTGTTTGGGGAGGATGTTGAGGAGGAGGAAGAGGACGACGACTATGTACCGAAAGCTCCGGAATATTGGAAGAAAGAGGTCCGAGTGGGACCTAATTATCAGGTAGGGTTTATGAAAGCTTTAGAGGGAGTTTAAATGGTGTTTTCCATTAAAATATCGGCATTAAATATCAGATTATATTGTACATGGTAATCTTTGCGTTACAGGCGGAATTCCCTTTGCCAGAAGTCAAACCGTCGTCTCCAAAGGAAGAAGTGGAGGTGCTAAATGACTCAGAACCTCTGTGGATTCCAGCGAAGTTGACCAAAAAAGAGCTGGAAGATTTTCTGGTCAAGGTTTACGAGAAACTCCACGAACTCGAAGATGCCGAAGTTGACACCACACCTCAAGCCAACCGCAAACCAAAATATGACGGGGTTACAGACGACGAGGATGCCTTGTTTGCTCTCTACAAAGCTAATTATGACATTCAAAAGGCCTTGAGTAAATTGCCTTATGATCCCGCTAATGGGCCAAGAGTAACAGCTCCGAAGAAGTGGCGGCCGATGAGTAAGGAGGATGCGGATCGGTTCGAAGAGGCGTTCAGTGAATATGGAAAGAATTTCTTCAAGATTCATAAGGAGAAGGTGAGATTTTAAAAAGTTTTTGTTGATTTTTAGGAATTGACTATGTTATCCATGAGTTGGAGAGAGAACGATGAGATCCAGAGACCTCTTTCTTATCGATTTCCTCATTTCTCACCTTATTTTAGATGACGGATCGATCTGTCGGAGAACTTATCAACTTCTACTACGTCTGGAAGAAAACTGAACGACATGACATGTACATCGCAGCGCGAAGAGCTCTTGGCCAACTTGAGGGCCCAAAAGCCACCGATCCCATGGAAATTCTGGTGGATCAACATCTCAATGACTCAAATGGAACTGTCCCAACTTCTGAACCCGAACCCGCAGCGCATAAAACCTGGTTGGCCGTCCCGCATGAACCAGCTCCTGAGCAGAAATGAGTATTTTCAAAGTATTTGAAGTGAAAGTTTGGCCATTGGTGGGGTAATTGTTCAGGTTATATTCGATGTTTTTATCATTTGTCGTGTGTTGTAAAATTTCAAAATCCCGTTTCACAATGTCTATTCCTGGTTTATCTTTGTACGTTTCCAGTAGGGATCTCAGCTTAAACTAATATTGCATCTCCCTTTTCGTCTATTATTTTAACATTTTTCAAGCATTTATACAATAAATTATTCAAATTTAGGTGGTGATATGGGTTCCTTTTTTACCGGTTTTTTTTCATGTCGTATTTTACAAATTTTCCACCGAATTTTACGATTTCGCCCAAGAATACAACATGTGATCTCATAGCACAAGTGGTTACGTTGTGGCCTGAAAATCCGACGATTGCAGGTTCGAATCCGCTCTCGAGCAAACTATTTTTTGATGCTTTCTTGTCTTGATCGATCAATTAGTAACTTACTAAACTCCCTTATCGACTGCCCCATCATCAATTTTCTCTTCAAATACGAGTTTATCAGGCAAAAAAACGGAGCTAAAAATAACCGATCTTCTCCTGTGCTTGTCGGGCCGGTCCCGAAAATGTGGTGAGGTTTCTATGGACAAAGAAGACCGAGACGAGCTTTAAACTCTCTGACTTTACAACGTGTTTCGAGTCGAACAACTAACAATTTGGGGGAAGACGGGAAGGTAGTAAAAAAGGGAGAGTAGAGGCTAAAATTATCTGATAGGCCAGATCTTTCGGCCGCTTCAAGGCGTAGACTGCAGAGATTTTACGACAACACACTATTTACGACATCTATGAGGCATGCTTTTGCACTTGGCTATTCCAGTTTTCAATCACAGTGGACGTCGACCCGCTAGGACGAGGTTCTATCTACTACAATATCCAAGAACAAGTCAATTCCAAAGGAAAAGCGGTCTAAAACAAGTCAAAACATTGATTACACATTACTAAACGTCACCAGCCACTCCACAGAGCATTGCCTTGTATTCACAAATAAACACATCGAAAACTTTCAAACAATTTTTTTAGCTTTTACGAACGGAAAACCAAAAAGGGGGGAAAACAACAACAATGAGTTCGAGTATACGACGGCTTGAGAACTGGAGAAAAGAAAATAGTCTGATCCATGGGTATGGGTGGTGATTTAGGCGCCGAGAGCGGGGAAATCATGAGCCAGGTCGATTTGAGGGCCACGACGAGGTCCGCGAGCGGGGCCACGGTTGTCCTGACGAGGGGGACCGCGTTGAGGACGGTCGCTGCGTTCGCCACCGGGACGACGTTCGTTGAAGCGGCGCTCTCCGCGGTTGTCACGGCGGTTGGGGTCATTGAAATTGATGTTGATATCAACGGTCTTCTGGGATTGTTGGCGCTTCTGAAAAGAAGGGTAATACAATTTGAAAGAAAAGATTTCTGTTGCTCCAAACTTTTCAAGAGGTTCCTAAAGGCCAATGCAAATAGTATTAAATCAACTTACAGTTGGAGCAATGTGTTCCTCGACTTCTTCATATTCATCTTCCTCGTTGTCCTTCTTCAATGGAACGAACTTCTGGAGAGCCTTCTGGTCGGCGCCCTCGTTGGCCTTGCGAGTCTTGAACTCCTGCTTGGCCTGCTGCTGCTGGGCCTTCCACTCAGCAAGAGTGAGCTTTGGCGGCTCCTTCTCTTCCTCGGGCTGCTCCTCAACAACTTCTTGGACTTCGGTGGCCTCGGCGGCAGCACCGTTCTCCTTGTTGTCGGACACATTCAATTGTTCGGTTTCTCCGACCAGCTCGTCCTGGTCATCGCCCCAGTTGCCTTTTCCATGGCCGTCTTTCTTGGGGACGGACTTGACTCCAGTCTTGTCGGATCCGGAGACACGGTCCTGACGAGGTCCACGGAATGGGCGGTTTCCATTGTAACGGCGAGGAGGACGCTCTCCATCGACGACCTCGGTGTTCTCACCTTCTCTTGGCTCACTAAAACCGTTTTATTAAAATCAAATAAGCAGACTAAATCTGATATTATACTAGATCCAAAATCCATTATTTTTTTACTTTAGGAGAGAGCAAGAGTTGTCTTTTTGCTTTCTCAAGCTCAGTTATAGTTGGCATCACAACTTTCAGCCGAAAATTACCCATAAATAATAACATCATTGCTTGAGAAAACCAAAGACAAACTAATGCTACCCTAAACTTCATGAACCAATAAACTCGTTCTTACCGAGGCTTGCGGGGTCCACGAGGCCTGTCTTCTCCATCACGACGAGGTCGGTACTCTCCAGTCTCTCCTTCGCGGCGAGGACGATATTCTCCACCTTCACGACGGCCACCACCTTCTCCATCACGACGGGGACGGAATTCTCGTCGCTTTTCGCCGAAACGCTCGGACAGATCACCCTCACGGCGTGGGGCACGAGGTCCTCCGCGTTGTCCGGCAGGCTTTCTGTTCTCGTTGTTTTCGCGGACGGGCTTCACTGGTTCCGGAGCTGGGGCCTTGGCGGCGACCTTGGCAAGTCGCTGCTTCTCTTTCTTCTCCTTGGCGGCGCGAGCCAAAAGTTCGGCGGGATCAGTTCCTTCTGCAAAAACGGAAATATTATGTTATCCATGACGTTTATTAATCTCCTAAGCGAAAAACGGAAGAGAAAACTCGCTTACCATCGTCCAAAAAGGCGAATTTGTTGGAAATGTTGACACCGTATTCAGTGGACATCTTTTCAAGCACTGTGTGACTGGAAATTGGATCTTTATTGACAGCAATCAGCAGTTCATACCTGAAAAAAATCGGTAAAATGTATAAGAAATCGATAAACTCGTGTTGTAAACAGGAAACGTGATAAAAATGAGCGGGAAAGGAGCGAACGAAAGGCAATTTTTAGGCCATACAAAACATGGTTTGAGGCTATTGCACAATGCCACAGTAGTTGGCATTCAATGTTTTCGTGATGGAAAAATATTTGAGTGTAAATGTAAGTGTAATAAGTCGATTTACTAGGCCGATAGGGAGTTGTGAGATCATAGAAGGTCTTTTTTACACTTTGCTGGCGCTAAATTACATCGAAAGGATACAATTTTGGCATTTTTGTAAAAAATTTAATAATGTTGCTCTTGGAGAAGCGAACACCCAATTTTTGATGAAGTAAAGAGGCACAAGACCCTTCTACACCCACAAAGAAAAACATTGTTTGGGTGTCCTGTTATTGGATGATTACAATACAAAAACAATCAAAAATGATCGATTTTTTGTAAAGCCACTGAAAGTGAAGTCTCTGTTGTAAAAGTCGGCAAACAATGCAATATCTATAAAATCATCGACTGTTAAAGCCACACTGATACGAAGTTACATCAAGTAAACTGCAGCAAGCCTACATAAACGACGAAAACTTCTTGTTTCTACAGAAATATTGTGTTGAATGGATGCTTGTTTGGGCCTACAACGAACGCTAAAAATATAATAATCACCTATAGTAGGAATTTACCAAATAGGAGTCCGCTGTAAGCCGTACTATTATTCTACAGCAAAACAGTAGAGTCCAAAGAGCACAGTGCACCGTATTCCTCCCACTTTACACATCTATAACTCCTCTCTCCCACAAAAAAACACCCGCACGCAAGATAAAAACGGACCACTTAATGCTGTGTGCAGCTGATGCACAAGGTCACGCGTCCTTCCACTTCTGTACAGAGAATTTTCACGCCGAATTTTCGCGCCAAAACGGATAAGCAGAAGCCCCTTATAATTTATCGAAGAGTCAGCGGGAAACCGTCGGTGTGTGGGCCACGTAATGTTATGTATTATGCACCATAAGATCTATTTTGAAATTTGGGACGAATGACGCTGGAAAAGGAAAAGAAGAAATTGGCCAGTGATCAATTGTAAAGGTTCTAAAGTCTTCCAGAATTTTTTGCGTCTGATCGATAAAGCAACAAACAAGTGAATGAAAAGAACTGTACGAAAACGCAGTTTTATATCGAAGCCTCTCTAGTGTTATGAGTTTCCAGGGTTATGAACTGTTCGTTATTGGTAGGATTTTATACCACTAGGCAAAACGAAAAAAATACAGCCAACAACAGCGCATTAACCCATACTCGTCGTTTGCAAAGCAAACAATTCTTTTCAGTCCCATGGAAGTTCTTCTGTAGAGCTTTGAATTAACTAAGCTATAAAACTAAGCACAAAAACTTTAAAATTAGAAAAGTTCCTGTGTCCTATTGATCTCAATGATCCTCAACCAAAAGCTTGTGCCGAGTTTGATCTCAAATATCCGCAAAATCTGGCCCAAACCTTTTCCCAATGGAATCGAAAATCGTCTAAAAAATATTTTGTGGGGACGAAAAAAGTGAGCCGAATGTTTTCCGAAGAATGTCTCTCCTTTCGCCCGCCGGTTTTTTCCACTCTCTCAACCGGGAACCGTTGAAAACAGCCGAAGCTAACACGGAGTTGGGCTGCGTGAACCGGCCAATCTGCGCCCAGACATTTGCGGGATCTTTGAATGGGGATTATATAAAATTAACAAAAGGATTACATTGAAGACCTAAAGGAAAAATTACATGTTGTAAACATAATTCAGAATTTTTTGAAAACACGAGAGGAAAATTTTCGCTTATTCACACAGCTCTGTACAGCAAAAATGATTTATCAGCAACTATTTCAAGCTACATACATATCACCTTTACTTACCGTTTTCCGTGTTTGGGGCTTGACCTGGCCATTTTATTCCCTCAGGGTTATAAGAAAAAAGATAACATTACAGATACAAATTTTATTGGATACGGTACACAAACTATTATCAGGATAATTGAAAGAAACATAATCCTTACAGTATTCCCTGCCGCGCTCGTTCCTGAGATCAGGAGCTTTTCGGGTCCCTTCCCAAAGCGGGGCCGACTCTCACTGAAAAGTTAACACTCCCGCTCTCCCTTTCCGCGGGGCGTGAGCGCGATGACGAATATTGTTTCGGCTATAAACTACGAGTAAACATATAAAATCACCCTATAACAGATGTATAACACGCGATTATATAGAAGAACTGCAATTTTCTAGTTTCGAAGATACTTTTATCAAAAAAAATGACAGTGAGTTAAAATAATGGCTCAACCACTGAGCGACCTTATTCAATTATCATCAGTTAGTCAGGAAATGAGGTTTCTTGTCGTAGAGAACAACCTGAAACGCAAAAATTACAGAAAAACTTCTGGACGATAAGTAAAATAAGAGGTAACTTTGACTTACATGAGTATACTTCTCCTTCAAGATTGAATGTAGTTCCTCGGCGTGCGCTCTTTCTCGAGTTTCGACCACCACTCTTACTCGAACTTCGAAGACATTGGCTGCCAGCCACGCACGTTCGTGGAAAATGTCTTTGATTGATGCACCAGTGTGCGCGATGACATTGGTTAGCTCGGCGATTCCTAGAAAGATGATAATTCTTCGTTGTCGATAAATCGGGAAAGATTTCGAAGGCTGACTGAAGATTTAGTCCAAGTTTTTTTACTCGATTGTCTCCGAGTAAAAAACCGAATAAAAACACCTTGGTTCCCTATTAGCATTTTTTTCTGGGGGGTACCTCCATCTAGCTACGCCCCTGGTACCGCTTCTTTCGATAACAGCAGCTTACCTCCAGGCCTATCCGACACCACAACGTCCAATTTCACCAAACGTCCATCGACAGCCAACCCTCGTTCAATAGTCCTGCCAAGTACCGTAGAATCGATATTGCCGCCAGTCATGATGTTGACAACCCTACAATCATCAACTTACAAGTTGTTTTACATTACGACTTTGAAACCCTTTATATAAATCAGCCAAAATTTTACCGTTTCCCTTTAAGATGCGGTAATTTCCCACTCAACATAGCAGCCAGGCCCACCGCTCCAGCACCTTCGACCACGCTTTTCTCCAACTCCAAGAATCTCAAGATTGCCAAAGCGATGCTCTCTTCGCACACAGTAATTAGCTCATCAACGATTCCTCTCGCCATGTAGACCGCGTTGACGCCGACATTTGGAACCGCCAGACCATCCGCAATACTGGATTCTGGCATCATTTTGAAATGGGAACCGTGCATTGCATTGTGGAAGGAGGCACAGCACTCGGATTCTACTCCCTGAGAAAGCATCTTGGAAGAATTTAGCTTTACTTACGATAACCTGAACTTCTGGCTTCAAAGTTTTGATGGCCAAGGCAATGCCAGCAATTAGGCCGCCACCGCCGACTGGGACAATGACAGCGTCAACGTTTTTTACCTAAAAAACGTTTTTATTGGTACATAAGCTTTATGTTTCAGGGTGTGTAGTGTTTTGAGCAAAAGAAGACTTATTATTAGTCATCATATCCTACTTTAAAACTTTTTAGTCTTGATTTTATTGGGGCTTTGAATTAGTGTTTCACAACGCCATTACGCGTATTTCGAATCACTATTCTGCTCGTTCTATCTTCTCTACCTGTTCCAAAATCTCCAATCCAATAGTCCCTTGGCCAGCAATCACGTCCGGATAATCAAATCCATTAATGTACTTCTGTTTCGACGTTTTTATCAGCTCAAACGCATGAGTTCTCGCTTCACTGATATCCTTTCCATGCAGAACAATATTGGCACCGAAAGATCGACAAGCCGACAGTTTCATCAAAGGCGCAAAAGTCGGCATGACTACGGTAACTGGGATATCCATTTGTTGGCCGTGATAGGCCAAGGCCAGAGCGTGGTTTCCGGCGCTGGCCGCGATAACCCCGACTTTTCTTTCTTCGGCAGTTAAACGATGCAGCGCATAGCGAGCTCCGCGCTCTTTGAAGCTACCGGTCACTTGAAGAAACTCTTTTTTATTGTAGACTTCCATTCCCAGCAAGGCGGAGAGTTGCGGCGATTTCTGTAAGAAAAAATTGGCCGTAATCATATTGAAAAATATCGAAAAGTAAGCGAAAAAGTTATCCTACAGTAGTCGGAGTGTAGATAATACCATCTCTGATGTTGAAAGCGGCCGTGGAAATGTCGGAAAATGCGATTCTATGAGGCTCGGCGGGATTGCTGGATGGATCTTTGAAGGGGGCTAAAAATTAATTTGGTGACTTTTATAGGTGAGTAACCCTGAAGCGATGGTTCGATTTTGAGTAAAAGTCCTCAAGGCATAATACCACATTTTTATCCCACTTTTTGCATAGGCCGCGAAGGTTTTGCCCCAAATTGGAATACTTTTTCTTTCATTTTTGAACTGGAAAAAATTAAGGTCCGTAGAAATCTGCCGTAAAATTTTTCCACAAAGATCCCTTCTTTTCACAGCAAAGTCCGAAAGATTAATGACAAAGAGTTTGCTCTTTGGTCGACTCTGATTTTTGCTCTCTGGCAGTAATCAGAACGTGAGCCAAATTTTTTTTTAATTTTATGGCAGTTTTAAAGGTAAGCATGTAAAATTTGGTGGTCACCAGAGATTGCCACGGTCAAAATTTTGGCTCCGGCTCCGGCTCTTTGCTCCCAGAGCCGGAGCCAAGGCCAAATTTGCAGCTCCGGCTCCGGCTCTTGGCTCCGTGCAAAATTTAAAAAGGCCTCCGGCTCCGAATCCCGGCTCCTATGCAAAATGTTTTTTTAAAAATTTTTTCCGAAAATAAAAGTTATTAGTGCCAGAGATCATACAGCCAACGTTTCTGCAGTCAAGTCACATCCTCCGCAGTGTTTTTTCAAGCAATTTGGTTTAACAAGATCACGAAATTTTTACTTTTCTGACCGCTGGGAAGCCTGGCTCCGACTTTGGGCTCGGGAGCCGGAGCCGACCCCAAAATTTCCGGCTCCGGCTCTGGCTCCCGGCTCGGAGCCGGAGCCGCTCAGAGCCGGAGCCAAGAGCCGGCTCCGGAGCCGTGGCAATCTCTGGTGGTCACTTTCGGTAGGCCGAAATTAGGCCAGACAAAATACAACTTGAGGTATAACGTTTCAAGATGTCGACCAAACGTCAGACTCTTTTTTTATTGTATTAGCTTACTGATAAGGAGTCATATTGTTCTGTCTTTTTTATTAATTTTAGAGTGAAATCTGATAATAATGGAAGCTTTCTAATGTCATTATGACACTATTAGCTTTTCCATAGAATGAATACGATTTTCAGAAGGAAAAACGATGGCTTTTGTATAATTGATAATGCAGGTGTGCCATCTTTGTGGCCCGATTTGAATTGGATTTAACTTCTTTATTTTTCGATCATAGTTATTAAATAAAATGAGAGGTTATGAGGATTCAGGGAAAAAAAGAATCTTCAAATTTGGCCGAAGAATAAAGAAGTTATAGCCAATTCAAATCGGGCCACAAAGACGGCACACCCTCTATTGTAATCACTCAAGAAACCTTGAATATCTCGGTTGCCTCTACAAAGTAGGAGCTGAAACTTTCGGGGATGGATGTGTAACCCATAGAAGGTAATTGCACATAATCTGAAGAAAATTGGAGAGTTGCAATTCCAGCACTTTCCTTATAAAGCCAAAATTTTTATTTTGTTGTAAATGTACACCAAATCGCATAGATCCCTTCTAAATTAAAAAAATTGGCTACACAGAGGCTCTAATAGTCATAAAAATAATTTCCTCACCCAAAAAATCCATTATCCCCACCATAACTCACCTTCGACTTCAGAATCCGAGTTCGACGAAGACGTATTCAGTTCGGTCATGTTGAGACGAGAAATTTAATGATCAAACGACCGTCTCGTGCAACTTTCTGATAAGACAATTTCTTTTTCCGCTCCATTCTCGTACAATATTATCAATCCCTTTAGGCGATCGTTATAATACGAGGAGATTTTGATAAGAAGGACATGAAAACGCAAGGATGCTTACTGAAATTGAGTTCGTGTAAACAAACAATACCAAAGAAGCATACAGAAAACAGTGAAGTTGATTGTGTTAGGTTCAATTTGCACGTGGATACTGTAACTTTGGCGAAATTTTGAAAATGAAAATTTTTGGATTTTTTGCGAAAAATTGCAAAAAATGAATAAAATTAAGCAGTTAGAAAAAGGCGCTCGAAAGTTTAATCCATAAGGACTTTTATTAAATGCTTTTTGGGTTACTGTAATTATTATTAAAAATTTTTCCTTTCATATTTTTGAAAAAAAGCGGCACTTTTTCAAACTTTTCTATTAAAAAATCGTTTTTCAACAATAAAATTAACAGTACCACTCTATTATAACCTCAGGGGTTAACTTTTTTTCATGTTAGGTGACTACTGAAACTTTCGTATAAATAGTCTTCCCGCAGTTTGCACAAATTTTCTCCAAACGTCGGGCGCAGCTTGCGGAAATTAAATAATTTTTTCGAACCGAAATTCCCGGGTTTTTTGCGAGTGTCCGAAAAGTAAAGGCTTCATGCATGTACGATGGTGGCTTTGAGCAAAGTATCTGCCGCTTCTCGCGTTAATCTTCCGCGTGCGGGCAGCAAAAACATAAACAATATTATTTTAGATATCAATTAGGTGTTTTTGCGGGAGAAAGAGATGAATATGAAGGGAAAATGTAATTAAAAGATTGGAGTAGAGTGGAAGTGCATTTGGTTTTGTAGCTGCTTGTTTTGGAGGTCTTGTAAGCTATAAAAAATTTTGAGATTTGGGGGGAATAATACAATTTGGTCGAAGATATGTAATTCGGCTAAAACAATGTGTCATAACGTCCGAAAAGAATTTATCGCTATTTTATCTCTCTGATTATTCATTTTTTCCGAGCTCTCATGATTTTCATCTCACCTTGATGTCTAAAATAATATTATTTTTTCCAGCCATGAGTTCGACCTCCTCCTCGTCGGGGGCTCGTCGACCGATTGCCAGACGAGTGGGGCGCCCTCCAATCAACCCGGTCTCCTCGGCCAACTCCACGACAACCACTAGAACTGGCAAAACGCGGAGCGAGAGCTCTGTGGAAACATCTAGTACTGAAGTCAGTCGCAGTTCCACTCCTCGACCCAGAAAGCGGCTGAGGAATGGTCCAACTCTCATAAAGAGTCCGCCGAAGAAACGGGGACGCCCACGACAGCGGAAACGTCTGGCCAAGGAGCCGATTCGATTGTTCGAGGAGGAGGAAGAGGTTGATGAAGAAGATGATGTGGAAAGTGTGGATAGCATGGAAGGAATGGACCCTAGTTGGGAGCCCGCAATCTTGAAGGCCTATTGGAGGGCAAGAGAAGCTTTTGAGAGGATTTTGGCAACTGAAGCGACGGTAAGGTTTTAAATTTTGTTGTTCTTGGTTTAGATGGAAGATAAGTCAAAATGGATATAAATCCTTGGGAATTGATGTGCAAACAGTAAGGATTGCCAATTTTAGAGTGCTCTGGACGATGCTGTGGAATGCAAACGCAAATGGAGCAGAGGAACTTTTGATAATAAGCCTCTGCCCAAGTTTCACATTCCTCGGAACGAAAAGAAGAAGTTGACGGCGATATATATGGAGAAGATCGAACCGCTCCCGCCGATGGTCTTCTGGACTCTCACTGAAATGAATATTAGGGTAAGTTCGGCTTCTAATTGGTGATTTTCTCTTTCAATTGTGACTTCTTTTTTGTTCGACCGGCTGTCACGAAACTCAAATTAATCGTTCTCTTTCAGGCCGAAGATGAGTACACTCTTTCTCATGTCCCTTACATGGGCGATGACATCGATGAACATGAACTGACACAGGAATTAATGGAGTGTTTCCCCGATGGAATTCATGGAACTCGAGTTGGATGTGGCGAATACACCAACGATTTTATTTTGTATTATACTGTGAAATACTCTGTGGAGTCAATTAATGACATCCGTAAGTGAGAGATCATGGATTTATGAGGGGTTTGGGAGACTTTCCCTGATGTTCAGGGACTTCGTGGTGGGAGTCAAAAAAAAATTTTTTATGCGGGTCGAATAAATCGGGAATAGAAAAAAAATATATAAGAAGCCCTAAGGGTATTTAGACAGCGTTACGAGACTGATTTGGGTATATCTAACCATTAAGTTATGGGTCCCACCACGAAATCCCTGAAAATCAGGGAACTCTCCTAAAAGTGTTCGGAAATGCCATTTTGATGCCTCATATGAACTAATAGCGTAGTAAATTTAGCATACAACAAACTTCTCCGTCTGATCTACGAGCTGTTCCCCAACAAATGCCAGAAAAATGAGCTGGAAGAAGTTTATCCCGATCTCAGAGCAAGATTCGAAAAACACCTCATTCGCGACCCAATGCCATGCGATGAAAACGGATTACAGAAGAATAATGTGACTCCAGAATCTTTGCTCCACAGCTATCAAGTTCTCCAATGCTATAAATGCACCCTGTACGATTGTCCCCATCATTCTGGTAAGTGGGGTGAAAATTGATATATTTTTGGGTGCGTTAGGGGTTGGAATGGCCGCAAAATTAAAGTAAAACCAATATTAAGGTGTGTAGCTAAGCGTGTTCACGGTATTTGCTAGGATTTTTGAGAATTTGTCGATTTTTTTATATAATTCCAAAAATTTTAGGTGATTTTGATGTAAAATACGGCCAATTTATGTATTTTTTCTGTAAGATTAAGGATCCTGGATTCATAGAGATTATTTCATTTGATAGCATGATAAAAATTTATTGAAACATCGAACTTTTTCTAATTTTAGGTAAAAAATGTCTAAAATAAGGTAAAAATCTATTTTTTGCCTCAAAATTGTGCACAAAATTATGCTTGATCGATAACAAAATACATTTAAGGCCACTTCCTCGACGAAACAGCTCAAGCCTCGGTGATCCGACGTCGCGACGACCGCAATTTCCATTACACACCCGAGCCTTGTAATGGCCAATGTTACCTGTCCAAACGGGCGTCTCTCTCCCCGGACAAGCGCACAAATCACCGCCAACTCAAAATCAACACGAAACAAGTGTCGTGGAGCCCACATGAGGAGTCAATGATGGCACTCATCAAGTCGGTTGGCATCACCGACTGCTGTCTGATCGCTCGAGCGCTGCAAATTGAACCCGGACAACAGCCAAAAACCTGTAATGACGTCTATGAATACTTCCGGAGACAGTCTCCGATCTCACCGACGATCAATGTGGTCAGGGAAACGGTGAAAAGGTGAGATTTGAAAAATGAAGCTGGGTCCCGCAACGAAAATTTTGGAAGTGGAAAATATGGGATAAATAAAAGGGAAATGAACGTATTGTTGTGGGAAAAGACTCGAGATGAAATAAGTGTGGTGTTTTTTGATAATTGGCTTGAAAATTTTGGGTACCGCCACGAAAACCCTGAAAATAAGGGGAGCACTCCGGAACCGTTCAAAGTTACTGTAGATTGTTTGGAATTGCTGTAGTACAGTGCGGGACAGGATCCACTGGTCAAAAGTGCTTCTGATTGCATCCGGGAGGCATTCCAAATACAACGAAATGCTTCCCTCTCTGACCAAAAATAGCGTCCTTCTGAAGAGAGAGAGCAAGAAAGTTGCCCTTTTGGAAAGACCAAAGGGGAGACAGTTCCCCCTCTTTTCTTTCCAAAAGGGAAACTTTCTCGTTCACTCTTGAGAATAACGCTATTTGCGGTCAGAGAGGGAGGTATTTAGTGGTATTCTGAATGCCTCCCGGATGCAATCAGAAGCAGTTTTGACCACTGGATCCTGTTCCGCACTGTACTACAGCAATTCCAAACAATCTACGGTAATTTTTAACAGCTTCGGAGTGCTTCGCTTATTTTCAGGGTTTTCGTGGCGGGACCCAAAAATTTCAAGCAAATCATGAAAAATCACCACACTTATTTCATCCCCAGTCCTTTCCCACAACAATAAGTCAGTCCATTTCCCTCTTGTTTATCCCATATCTTCCACTTCAAAAATTTTCGTTGCGGGACCCAGCACCGTTTTTTGAACACCGCACTGTGTTGTTAGAAATTGATTATATTGACAAAGTTTCTATAGAAAACGAAGCGAAATTCATCGCAAATTCCGAGCGATGAAGTGGTCCGCTGATGGAGAAGTGAAAAACAAGTACGCTTACATCCCATGCTCCCACGATGGACCCTGCACCGAAGAGACTTGCTCCTGCTATTCCAGAGACAAGATTTGCACAAAGTATTGCAAATGTTTCCACAATGAATGCAAAATTCAATTCCCGGGATGCAGATGCAACCCCGGGAATTGTCGCACAAGACAATGCCCGTGCTATTATGCATCCTGGGAGTGCGATCCGGACTTGTGCAAGAATTGTAGATGTGGTGAGATTTTTTTGGGATTTTTCGGAATTTTTGGAAAGTTTTTTGGGTTTTTGTGGAGTTTACAGTTGTTTTAGAGGCTTAAAATAGCGTTGAATTTAATTTTGGTGCGTAATTTTACATAAAATTGGTTTCAGAACCCGACGATCAAGGTCTTCCCAACGAAAAATGCAAAAACATCTGCTTCCAACGAGGCCTCCAAAAGAAACTCTCAGTGCGACCGTCGCAAGTCGCCGGATGGGGATGTTTCGCCGACGAACCCATGAATCGTCATGACTTTATCTCCGAGTACTGCGGAGAGATTGTGTCGGTGGCGGAGAGCGAACGCAGAGGAAAAATTTATGATAAAACAAAGTGCAGCTATCTTTTTGGTAGGTTTTGGACGATTTGGAAAATTTTTTGGGAGTGAGAAGAGGGTTTTTATGATAATGGAGGGATCAGGGAGCAATTTGGGCGATTTTTGGCAACTTTCCCTGATTTTCAGGGGTTTCGTGGTGGGACCCAAAATTTTTTGGTTTTTTGACGGAATTGTAAAATGTGGGCTAGTAGTAGTAAGATTGGTTCATTAAGGTAACAGAAACTGATTTTCAAGGTATTTTTAGAAATAATTTATATTGTACTAGGTAAAATAATACATCAATTTTTTTTTCCAGAACTAAACCAAGACTTCCAAGTCGACGCCACTCGAAAAGGCAACCTCATCCGCTTCGCCAATCACTCCTCCAACCCCAATTGCTACGCAAAAGTTGTGGTCGTGAACACGGACCACAGAATCGGCATCTTCGCCTCGAGATTCATCGAAAAGGGCGAGGAATTGTTCTTCGATTATGCCTACAGCAAGAACCATCAACTCGCTTTCCTGAGCAAAGAACTCGACAAGAACCATCAGGTTGTAACCATGACTGAAAAGACTCTCAAAGACAAGAAAAAGAAGAAACAATGAATTTTTCAGCGATTTTCCACAAATTTTCCCAATTTCTCAGTTTTTACTGCAAGGTACCATCATTTTTTTGGTCTTTCTATTTAATCTCCAAGAACATCTCATCTTTCTTGTCTCAATTTGTAACTTATTTTTCTCAATAAATTATTTTTTTGCAACAAAAATTGGAGTTTTACGCCTAAAATAAGATAAATGGGTAAAATGATGTGAAAGAAATTGGTAGAAATAGACAAAAGGCTCGTATTTTACAAATTCATAAGTCGAAGAGACCCACAATATTTTTTACCCGACGAAAAACGACTGATTTACCAGTGAATTATGCAGTTTTAAATTTGAACCCAAATTTTTCCCGCAAATTTTGCAAAATCCAAAAAATCTTGGCATTCTGTTTGCTCCACGTTTTTTCCTCGGATCTTTTGCCGAACCATTGAAATCCACGTCTAACATGGAATTGCGCGAGGTTTTGCATATTTTTTGTGCTGTTTTTACAGGTTTAGTTTTGGATATTATTTTAGGCTATTTAATTTCAGGGAGATGGACAGAAATGCCGCTGATTCTTTGCGATCGCGACAAATTGGTAAGAATAAAATGTTTTATTGTGTTTCTTGAAGTTTAGAGCATCTTTTAGCATGGCTTTCTACGCTCAGTTTTCTCAGTTTAGTTGTCTTTATGTCTGCCGTGGAGAATATAATTTATTGACTCAGGCTTCTAATCCTGTCTCATTTCAGCGGCCGTAAAGCAGATACTAAACTTGAATGCACCACTGAGTCATTCCTTGGCAGTTGAGCCGGTATGGAAGGTGTTGATTTTGGATAAATATGGAAGTGATATCATCTCTCCTTTGATCCCTGTCAAGAACTTGCGAGAACTGGGGGTTACTTTGCACTTGTAAGTTGTTTTTGGTATTTTTTTGTTCTGTGTTTAGGTGTGAAGGTATCTGAGAGTGTTTAAGAACGTTTATTGCACCATTTTCATCGAGAAAATAATATTTTTTGGGGTATTGATGATGTAGATGAAGTTAGAGTAGTTTCGACCTAAAATCAAGGCAGTTTCGTTTTGAGAGTACGCTATACTTATAGAGAAAGAACTTTTTGAGATTCATGATCGGAAAGAGTTAAGATATCAACAGGATTTTAACATAAAAAATTTGTCTTGGTAGAACAGCTATGGTGAAGGTGAAAAATTCGAGTTTTTGATCAAAAATTGCTTGAATTAATAATGGAGATGGTGCTGGAATTTTAGTAAATACACTTGTTTAGCTTTTTGTTCTAAAATGAGGAGGATTCACATCGTTTTTTCATTCAAAAAATGAAAAACTTTATTTTAGGCAGGTCTCAATGTTGCAGATTAAATTTTTGATTGTTGGAGGTGAAATTGAACAAACAAGTAGTCCAAAAATTAATGTTTACACCCTAGACGATCTTTTTTAAACAGTTTCTGAGAAATTTAATTCGAAATTTTTGTATTTCTCATCTCCTCTCATGAATAATATAATTTTTATAAAAAATTTAATTTTTTCTTTTTTAGAACGATCAATTCCCGTCGCGACAGTCTTCCCGACGTCCCTGCAGTGTATTTTGTTTCGCCTACGGACGAAAATATCGCGATCATCTCCGATGATTTGCAAAAAGCCATGTACGACAGCTTTTATTTGAACATGATCTGGCCCATTCAAAGGCCACAGCTGGAAGATCTGGCGACGGCTGCTGTTGCCGGACAAGTCACTCCTATGGTGCAAAAAGTAACGGGCTTTTGATGAGTAATTTGGCTATATTATACTAGATAGATGTGAAGTGTAATATAGTTGATATCTAAAACAATTTAATGATTATAATAAAAAGCTTTATTTCAGCTGGTAGATCAATATCTGAACTATATTAGTCTGGAAGATGGTCTGTTTTCACTCCGGCGATACACCAAAGACAGCCCTTTTTCATTCTACGGTAAGTTTTTAGATTTTTTATTTTTTTCTTTCATTTTTAGGTATGAAAATGGATTCAAATGAAGATCAAAGGCTTTATTTGGGCTGTGAAGTCTTTGCGGATGAAAATTCTCGCCGAAATTTTTAGTGCCTTAGGCGAATTTGTCGGATTTTTTATAGATTTCAGAAATTTTTGGATGTTTTTGGCCAAAAGTCGTATTTTAGAAGGAAAAGAGGCTTAAAATTGCTCGGAAATTTTTTTTTAGGGCTTTTCACACTTATTATGCCCATTTCAAATATTTTTTTTTTCAAAAATTCCCGTTTTTTCAAAAATTAAAATTTCGTATTTTAGCCATAAATAACACTTCAATTTCCCCGGAAGAAATGGATTTTCTGCTCGATCAAGTGGCCTCAAGCCTGTTCTCGGTGTGCGTCTCACTTGGAGTGGTCCCAATCATCAAATGCCCTAAGGGCAACGCCGCCGAAGAAGTGGCAAAGGTAAGGAAAATAAGGTCAAAAATGAGCCCTAATTGATCGCTCATTTAGAGATTGGACCAGAAAATTAGAGACAACCTCAGAGACGCCAGAAATAACTTATTCACAAATGATAATGTCCGCGCTGGCCAGTTCTCCCTTCATCGGCCGGTTTTGGTGATCGCTGATCGATCGCTGGACCTCCCAACGATGCTACATCACACTTGGACTTATCAAGCAATGATTCATGATGTTCTGGTAAGGGTTTGGAGAGGGTTTGTTGAGGGTTTTTGGAAATTTTTTGGGGAAATTATATTACACTTGACTAAATTTTTTTTTGTCGGTTTTTTGATTTTTTCGGGGGTTTTTGGGATTGAATATTGTGTAAAATGCATGAATATGATGTGTTTGACATATTTAAAAGGTTTTTTAGTTGTTTTAGACATTAAAAATTTGAAATTTTTAAAATTTTTTTTGGGATTTTTTGGTAAATTTTAGTTATTTTTGAGAAGTTTTTGCCTCAAGAAGTTTGGAAGTGTAGTTTACAGAATTTCTTGATCGTTTTTTACATGATTTTTTGACCTTAGAATATTAATTTAGGCTAATTTTTCAAATTATTAAAAAAAATTTTAAATTAGTATAATTTGCAAACCCAACGTAAAATTTCCAGGACTATGACCTAAACCGAATCAAAATGACGGATTCTCAGCAGCGAAAGAAGGAATACGACGTATCATCGACGGACAAATTGTGGTTCAACTTCAAAGGATCACCCTTTCCAGAAGTCGCCGAAGCAATTCAGTCCGATTTGGATGCGTATAGAAAGAATGAGGAGGAAATTAAGAAACTCAAGACGTCTATGGTGAGATTTTATGGGGTTTGGGGAGTTTAAGGGCGATTTTTTGATTGAAAAATTAAAATTTTTGGGAAAAATTAAGATTTTTTGAATTTTTTGGATTTTTGAGGAAGAAATGAGTGGTTTTAGGGAGGAAAAGAGGGGTAAGATTAGTTTACAATGTTATTTCTGAGGGAATTAATTTTAGTTTTAGTTTTAAAATTGATTTTTTTGAACGAAAATTGAGGTTTTTGTTGAAATTTTGAGGATTTTTGGGGTATTTTGTCGATTTTTGGTGAAAAAATATGTTTTTTTGAAGGAATTTTTTTCTTTTCTTTTTATCCAGAATGATTTTATAAACTGTATTTTACACCCCCAATATTTCAGGGCATCCAAAACGCGGAGGACGAAGCAGCGGTCATGCTTTTGGACGACGCCACCTCCAAACTTCAAACCGCCATGGGATCCCTACCCGAACTTTTGGAACAAAAACGACTCATTGATCAGCACACAAACGTCGCCACAAGTTTATTGGAGAATATCAAACAGCGACAACTGGATGTGCTGTTCGAAACGGAGGAGAAATTGCTGAATGGCCAATATCAAGGTAAAATAAGGTCATTTTTTGCGATTTTTGAAGGGTTTTTTGGATTTTTGGGTGTTTAGAGGGAGGTATTGGAATTTTGAGAGCTTTGTTTGTAGCTAGAGAGATTTTTTTCTTCACTTTTGGCGGAAAATGGATTTTTTTTCAAAAATTTTTGAGATTTTTTTTTGATTTTTTTTGGGTTAGATTTGTTGTAAATTAAAATTATTGAGTTTTGATTGTGTTTTTAGTAGAATTTTTACCGATTTTTTCTTCATTTTTTGGCGGAAAAAATTATTTTTTTTTAAATTTTTGAAAACTTTTTTTTTCGATTTTTATAATTGTCTTGGGTTTAGATTTGTTGAAAATTAAAATTTTTGTGGTTTTATTGTATTTTAAAAAAAATTTTTACCGATTTTTTATCGGAAATTTGATTTTTTCCCCGCATTATTGACCTTATTTTAGAAGTGAATATCTCCGAAGTTTTCAAGGCCCTCCCAAACACGGTAGATGCGCTCAGATTACTCCTCATCGCCTATTTGTGTAATCCCAATGTCACTGAGGTAAATTTAGAACTTTAAAAATTTTTTTTTTTTGATTTTTTTTGTAAAAATTTTTATTTTTTGATGGATTTTTAATTATTTTAGAATGAAAAACGCGAATTCAAAGAGCTCCTACAACAACGGGAAATTGACCAGTCGGCCCTGAAATTTGTGGAATGCATAAAAAGAGCGACTTCTCTTCAGTTAGGCACCAGTGACCTACATTCAGGCGGCGGAACGAAGACCCTAAACATGTTTGGGAAACTTCTCAGCCACTCGTCGAGGTTTGTAATGGAAGGAGTTAAAAATTTGGTACCCAAAAAACACAATTTGCCGGTGACGAAGGTGAGAGTTTGGGATTTTTTAAATTTTTGCACGGTGCGGACGGGTTTTTCAACGGAAAAATGACTCTGCACTGTGCGAAGGAAGATTTTGGAATTTGCACTGTGCGGAAGGATTGATTTTGAGATTTGCACAGTGCGAAGGATTGATTTTGAGATTTGCACTGTGCGGAAGGATGGATTTTGGATTTGCACAGTGCAAAGAAAAGACTTGTCGCTGAATTTGCACTGTGCGAAGAAAAGATTTGTCGCGGAAGTTGCACTGTGCGAAGAAAAGATTTGTCGCTGAAATTGCACTGTGCGAAGAAAAGACTTGTCGCTGAATTTGCACAGTGCGAAGAAAAGAATTGTCGCGGAAATTGCACTGTGCGAAGAAAAGATTTGTCGCGGAAATTGCACCGTGCGAAGAAGAGAATTGTCGCGGAAATTGCACTGTGCGAAGAAAAGATTTGTCGCGGAAATTGCACTGTGCGAAGAAAAGATTTGTCGCGGAAATTGCACCGTGCGAAGAAAAGAATTGTCGCGGAAATTGCACTGTGCGAAGAAAAGATTTGTCGCGGAAATTGCACTGTGCGAAGAAAAGATTTGTCGCGGAAATTGCACTGCGCGAAGAAAAGATTTATCGCTGAAATTGCCCTGTGCGAAGAAAAGAGTTGTCGCTGAAATTGCACTGCGCGAAGAAAAGATTTGTCGCTGAATTTGCACAGTGCAAAGAAAAGACTTGTCGCTGAAATTGCACTGTGCGAAGAAAAGACTTGTCGCTGAATTTGCACAGTGCGAAGAAAAGAATTGTCGCGGAAATTGCACTGTGCGAAGAAAAGATTTGTCGCGGAAATTGCACCGTGCGAAGAAAATATTTGTCGTTGAAATTGCACGGTGCGAAAAAAACAATGATCGCTGAATTTGCACAGTGCGAAGAAAAAACTTGTCGCTGAAATTGCACGGTGCGAAGAAAACAGTTGTCGCAGAAATTGCACAGTGCGAAGAAAACAGTTGTCGCAGAAATTGCACAGTGCGAAGAAAACAGTTGTCGCAGAAATTGCACAGTGCGAAGAAAAGATTTGTCGCGGAAATTGCGCAGTGCGCAGAAAAGATTTATCGCTGAAATTGCCCTGTGCGAAGAAAAGAGTTGTCGCTGAAATTGCACTGCGCGAAGAAAAGATTTGTCGCTGAATTTGCACAGTGCAAAGAAAAGACTTGTCGCTGAAATTGCACAGTGCGAAGAAAAGGTTTATCGCTGAATTTGCACTGTGCGAAGAAAAGATTTGTCGCGGAAATTGCACTGTGGGAAAAAAGATCTGTCGCTGAAATTGCACTGTGCGAAGAAAAGATTTGTCGCTGAAATTGCACTGTGCGAAGAAAACAGTTGTCGCTGAAATTGCACAGTGCGAAAAAAAAGTTGTCGCGGAAATTGCAAAGTGCGGTTGTTTGGGTGAAATTTTGATTTTTCGGCCGCACGGTGCGAATTTATGTTTTTTGATTGCACGGTGCGAAATGCTAGACTTTGATTGCACTGTGCGATTTTTTGGCGAAAATTGGGGTTTTGGATGCACAGTGCGAATTTTTGAATAAATTAAATTGGAATTTGAAGAAGCAGGGAGGTAAAAATATTATTTTTAGTTGGTCGCTCAATTGGTGGATACCAGGCCGGGCGTTGGAGGACTTTCCGGCTCAAATCCAGTTGATCCCAATGAATTTCTATACTTTGATCCAAAATTATTGCATGCCTCGAGTAAAGAGTAAGTAAAAAAAAAATTTTAAATATTTTTTCATTATTTTTTTAATTTTTTTTGATTAAAAAATTTTTTTTATTTTTTTAATAAAAAATTTTTCGTATTTTTTTATTTAATTTTTTGAATTTTTTCAGTATTTTTTTTAATTTAATTTTTTTTTATTTTTTGAATTTTTTATTAATTTTTTTTTGGTTTTTTATTTAATTTTTTTTTTTATTTTTTGAATTTTTTCAGTATTTTTTTTTCATTTAAATTTTTTTTATTTTTTGAATTTTTTTATTAAATTTTTTCTTTTCGTTTTTTATTTATTTTTTTTTTATTTTTTGAATTTTTTCAGTATTTTTTTTAATTTAATTTTTTTTTTGAATTTTTTTATTAATTTTTTTTGGTGTTTTTTATTTATTTTTTTATCTTTTTATTTAAAATTTTTTTATTTTTTTATTAAAAATTTATATTTTTATTTTTTAACCCTATTTTTTCAGCCTAGTCCATGCTCGCCAAGGCCAGCTGGCCCAAGACGTGATTGTCTTTGTGGTGGGCGGAGGGAACTACGTCGAATATCAGAACATTTTGGAGTACGCGAAACAGACAGGAATCCAGCGCATGACCTACGGATCCACGGAATTGGTCAACCCCACTCAATTCGTCGAACAACTCGCTCGACTCGGCCAAAAACTGTGATTTTTGAAAGATTTTTTGGATATTTTCCGAACTAATTTAATATATTATTGGATAGACATGTGAAATAAATTTATTTTTTGGTGTTGAAAAAAACTTGGTAAATTTTGAAAATTAAAAAAAAAAAAAAAAAAATAAAAAAAAATAAATAAAAATATTTTATTTTAAAAAAAAAATTTTATGCCTTGGCCAGACCATTATTTTTTTTTTATTTTTTTTGATAAAGACTTGAAAATTTGAGAAATTCAAAAAAAAAAAAAAAAATTTTTTTAAATTTTTTTATGCCTTGGCCAAACCATCATGCCAATGGAGGAAACGGTGCTGTCTCCTCAACTCGCAGTTAATCCCGAGTCTTGAAGAGGGCGCTGGGATCTCTTCGATTGCAGTTTTCAACGGAAATCCCCATTCTCCATCGGCTCGGAGACGGTCAATGCGGAACTGGTAGAACAAGGTTTTGTCTTTGGCGTTGTCCTGAAAAATTTGGGAAAGTAAAAATTTTTTGGACTTTGATGAAATTTGAGTCGAATTTGGAGACATTTTTACATTTTTCTCACACGAAAAAAACGATTTTTTTTTATTTTTGGTCAATTTCAAAAAAAAAAAAAAATAAAAATTTTTTTACGATTTTCGGGCAAAAAATTACAGGGTTAATTACTAGTAGGATGTGTAATATTTTTACAAAAATTCAAAATTTTTGAAGCAGAAATAAAAAAGTTATAGGCAAAAAAGTTTTTTTTTGTCTGGCCGACTCTCCTCATTTTGTGTGCTCTCTAAAAAAAAGTTTGTTGAATATCTTGATTGCCGTTGAAAATTGTGGGCTGAGATTTTTAGGGAATGATTTGTGAGCTTTTTAGAAGCTATAGGCAAAATTTAAAAAAAAAATCAAAAAAAAAATTTTTTTTTTCAAAAATTCAAAGTACGCTTATTTTCTCACATCTACCTAAAATTTCTAGCCCTGTGATACAACAAACACCTCTGTAGATTCGACTCACAAAATTTCTTCCATGCAAAATCCCTCCTTTTTGATTCATGATCCAAAAATCATTTGTTTTCGCGAAATGAATGCATTCCAACCCATAAACCTCGGTGTTGACCTTCACAATCTCAGTGAATCGCTGAGTTTCATCGCGGAAATTGCGGGTTTCGGTCTTTGTTGAGTTCACCAACCGCCATTGTTGGATAATTTGAACCGAACCCCGTTCAAACTCCTCGAAATCAACGTTGATTTGATGATGCTGTAGAGTGGGTTCGCAGTTGAGTTGGTTGGTTTCGAGGTCTTTGTGGACCGAACGTTGCTTGATAAACTCGTTGAGGTCGTAGCTGCCGCGACAGTTGTTTTCGAGCTGAAAATTTGAGGGTTGGTTTTTCGCGAATTTTGATGTGGTAGGGTAAATTCAAACCGCGATTATTCGAAAACCCTTGCATGAATTTTGATGAAACTTTACAGTTGGCATACCAATACCCTGTAGTAACATAACGTAAAAGGATTTTTGAAACAAACCCTTAGGGCATCATTTATGCAACTTTTTTTGTTAAGGTCATCAAAATCGAAAAAAATCTTAGTTCACCGACCTTTTTGGCCTATAGCGCCTGAGGCAATGAGCCAATTTTTGTAATATTTTGGATATATCATTGGTATATAGCACGCTTCCAAACTGCAAAAAATCTTACGGATATCTTTAGAATTCGAAAAGTTATGACCATTTCTGTAAGAACACCAAAATTGATGACTTTACGAATTGTCAGCCCGATTTCGTGCTCATTGCAGAAAATTCGGACGCTTTGTGTCAAAGAAGTATTGCTGCTATGATAGCAGCAGTCGTATTTTACCCAACTTACCTGTTCGTTTGACTGCGAGGCCAAGTAAAACGGTCTGGTTGCGGATTCATTCAATCCAAAGCAAAATCCAAGCTTTTCGTTCTGAAAAAAGTTGAATAATTCGTGTTCATCGACAAATTACTGTGCAGTTTATTTATAAAAAATATATAAAGACTCAGTTTATGTATTCAAAGCAATTTTAGCGGGCTTTTTTTGATGATTTTAGGCCAAAATTATGCTTTTATCATCAAATTTCATGAAAAAAACGATGACTTTTCGAAAAAACTTTGTCATGGGCAAAAAAAGTTTTTATTGTACAACTATATATGTGTAATATCTCATAAACTCACTTCTCGTCCATACTTCAAAAAGCATTTGGCCAGATCGATATAACTTTTTTTCTTTTCCACTGGTTTTTCGCTGGTTTTCTTTGGTTTTTCCACTTCCTCTCCACTGCCATCCTCCGAAAAACTTTCATCGACCTCTTCGGCCCAGTTTGGTTGAAGCTCCAAGTCTTCAAATCCCGTCCCTTTTACTTTCCTTTCGCTTTCGGGTGAAGTTAGAGTAGATTTGGAGGGGGAAGGTGAACTTTGCTCGGTTGGTTGAGGTTTGTGAGCGTAAGGAAAGATTTTTGGAGCTCCAAGCGACACTGAAACCTCTGAAAAACGGATTCAAAGACTATACATGGCTAGGAACAAAAATCTTTGTGTGTGCAGAAAGTGTGTCATGATGACACCCGTTCATAATGTGTTACTGTAAAAAGAAATTTGATTTTCCTGCGACGCAATTCATTTTCTCGGTTGCGATGCGATTTTCGATGCAACATTGCGCTCATTATTTCCCCGACAGACCGATATTTGTGTGTGCAGAAAATGTGTCATCATGACGCCTATTTATAACCTGCTAATGATATAAACAACGGCTGTATAAGGCTAGGAGTACTCTCTAAAGTGCCCACAAAAAAAATTGTTTTTTATGCGAAATTTTTTTTCCGCATTTTGAGATTTTGTAACGCCAGAAATTTTTTCAGCATACTCTCGAAAGTGCTCCTGGCCATATAGAGCTGTTGTTTATCCCACTGGCACATCTTAAGGATGTCATCGTGAGAGATTCTCTGGACGTATTTCGCAAAGAAAAACTAATTGCTTTTTACTTCAGCGACACAAAGCGATATTGTGCACACTATTTTCCCGACAGACAGGGCCTCTGATGAACAAAATTAGGTTGATGAATTTCATGTATAAGGCATTCAAATTCCAACAGAGTCCAGAGGAAAGGAGAACATAGGGCTACGTCAAAGTAAAAACAAGTTTCAACGGGAGGGTCGCAAGGGCGACGCTGAGATTTTTGTTACATTTTGTAAACACTTTAAGCCATACCCCCCAAACATTATTTGAAATGTCTTTTTAGAGCATATCAGTCTTTCGGGAAAATAATGAGCATAATGTCGCTGCGGCGATTGCGCCGCTGAATTGAAAAACAACGGGAAAAAGGGCAGATTTCAAGTTAAAATACGCTACTTAAAATTTTCTTTGCATTATATAATAATTCCTTACGTGGTTTTCCATCCTTGTTCATCAGCAAATTCATCAACGAATTGGGCCTCTCATACGATCCAGAGCTTCCGATCCCCGAAAAGGCTTGGAACACCTCGAACGGGTTGAACCCGCCGCCGTGGCTCTGCCCATTCACTTGGCAGCATAGCAGGAGCACGGAGAGGAACTCACTTCTCATCATGACGAACATGCGAGTGAATGGTTCGTGCAATCGGCGAAAAGAGTTTGGCAAAGATTGGGATCTTATCGCGATTGGGTCAATTGGTGAATAAACAAGAAGATTCGAGAGATTTCAGTGGGGATATCAAGGGCATGATATGGCATTGAATGGGGTGGAGAAAGAACATGGAGTTGTGATTTGTGATATTGAAAAAGTGATCAGAAAAGAAGAGAACCGGCCGAATTACAGGGTCTTACAAAAAACGTGAAGGAAAGTGGAAGGCTATACCTTCCGGCGGAGGCGGCGCAGAGACTTCGTATTTGAAATATGTATTTTTAAAAGACATAAGTTTTTGACTACGAAATAAAAAGCTTTTAGAGTGCAAACTGAGGTCGCTACGACCTTCTGAAGTAGAGGCATCTCTACCCCGAAAACCAGGTTTTTTCGGTTGAAAATGATCGAGAAATTTCGGACTTTGTCGGTTGAAAATCACCAGGAAATGTCGGATTTTTTGGGGTTTCTTGATATAGGCTTTAAGAAAACGTGCATAACTTGCAAGTGTTGGCAATTTCCTCATATTTTTCAACACCACCCATATCGAACACCCCCTCCGCCGGAAGTTATAGCCTTCCACTTTCCTTCACGTTTTTTGTAAGACTTTGTACGTCCGAATTTTAGATCTCACGGCCATTTCGATGATATATACATATAAAGCATTTTAATCGTTTTTTCTAAAGTAATATTAGTCTGTCGGAAAGATAATATAATTGGTATCTGTCGCATCGAAAACCGCATGAAAATAAATTATGTCGCGACAAAACCAAATTACTTTTCACTTCAGCGACGCAAAGCGACATTGGGCTTATTATTTTCCCGACAGACCCTTATCTCTTTATATGGCACTTGTCACGATATCAGCAATGTTACTTCGGAAACTCAGTTTCTTCAACTTTCCAAAGACTAGCCAAGAAAAATGACTTTCTTTCTCATCGATTCTCCTTGTTTTACATACTTTCTTGTCTGAAAAGATTGATGCGTATCTTTGCTGTTGTCACAGGACATAAGCCAAAATTTTCAGAGGTTGATGTGTAGCCAAGAAAGAAAATACAAGTAAAATTTGAAGAGAATCGAACACGTACTTCTCGAGTACTTTGCCTATCAATGACAATGTCATCGTAAAATTGGATCGTAATAACAAAGACCTTTTACATGCTCTACGGGATCTTTTTATCTTCAGAATCCTCAAACATTAATTCTTTATCTTTTTTTTAAGCTGCAAGCCAATTTACCCTCCAAATATTTAGCTTCTTCTTACGCTAGGCCATCCATATATTATCCTTGTCCCGCACCTCCCCGAAACTAGGGTTCGGACGGGGTATATACCCAAATACCCGAGAGGCCGAATTTTCGGGTACTTACGGGTATATTGAAATTACTTTTGAATTCAAAAAATGTAAAAAAGTCGAGTTTTGTCATAAAAAATTAACAAATGTTAACATTTTGTCATAATTTGTTCTTTGCCGCTCAAAACTTGGTTCTAAGGTTGAAATTTACTTGGCCGGAGTCGGAAAATGGACGGAAAAAGTTCAAAATCTAACTGCCAAATATTGGATTGCTAAGCTTTTTCATTGTTAAAGTACTAGTTTCGTATGTTGTAGTTGGGAAAATAAAGAATATCACTCCAAACATGATTAGGTTATTGAATAAGATGCCACTTATTCATTAACGACTTCATACTGGTACTATATTGGACTAATTTAGACTAATTTTATAAATACCTGAATATACCCGAGATTTCGGGTATATACCCGGGAATATACCCGGGCATATACCCGCGTGGTGAATATACCCGAATTTTCCGAACCCTCCCCGAAACCCCTGTTTTTACACTCGTTTCCCCGTTTTTTGCTTAATTGATTTCTCATTGTGCCTCAAATTACCGCCCCTCCCCGCGACTCGCCTTTTCTCCGCCGTTTGTGGCGTCATTTTTTCTGGGGACCTGGGATCGGGGTCCCTTAAGCGCGTCCATTCCGTATTTAGCGCGCGTTTCGCTTGCGAAATCTCGGCATGGCTTGATTACTGGGGGGTGGGTAATTGGGCGCTCGGGGTTTCGTAATCGAATGAGATGGTTATCAAAATGTTTTGATTGGGGGGTGAAAGTTTGTTTTGGAGGTTTTTTGAAAATGATTTTGTGGATTTTTAAAGGGAAATGTAGTATTTTTGATAGTAAAAAGGGGATTTTCGATAAAACGCAACGTAAATATTCACTTCAATGGTTGCAAAATCACAATAGAAAAATCTTCGTAGTCGTATTTTACCTAAAAATTTAACAAATTTAACGTATCTTCTCTGTGATTAGACCACTTTTTTTGAAAAAGCAACGTTTTATTTTATATTGAAAGTTCCCAAAGACTTCCTGACAAGTGAGCAAGTTTGAAAGATTTCCAGTTCATGTTTTGCAAAACTGAACCCGATTTTTAGAGCGAAAAGTTGTGTAAGAATGAATTTTTTTCTACAAGGTATGGCAATCTTGGAAGGTAAAAAGTAAGCGCTATAACTGCATCTAGAGTACAATGTTTTTACAAAAACATTCATGCTTTTCACACCTGAGACCCGGAAGATTCTCTTTACTTGACTTTCTATCAGTCTGTCGGGAAAATAATGAGGATTCTGTCGCATCGAAAATGGCATCGCCGGCGAGAAAATGAATTGTGTCGCGTCAAAATCATATTGCTTATCACTTCAGCGACGCGATTGGGGAAGCGACATTTTGCTCACTATTTTCCCGACAGACTGATACTATAGAGCAAAGTAATAAAAGGTTTTTTTTCTATCGCGATCCAATTTTACAATGACATTGTTATTCATAAGCAAGGTACTCGAAAAGTGCATGTTTGGTTCTCTCTAAATTTCACTTTTATTGTCTGTGTTGCCTTCACATTTTAATGTTTTTTTTCTATCTGATAATAACCCCTGAAAGGTTTAGCTAGTGTCTTGAGAGAGCTCACTATTTTCCCGACAGACTTATAGTCATCAAATTTTGTTTTTTTTCAGTTTATCCTAACGTTCTTTACATCCTTTTTACTCTTCTCTTTCTCCACAAAAAACCTCCGGCCACTTGATCTCCCCTCTTCGCCGAAGCGCCACCTATTATGCAAATAACATGTTATGCAAATCTCGGGACGTTCGCCAAAAGCCCAAGGTCGACAGGAAGTATTGAAAAGTTGCAATTAATTCTCGCGACATCTTTTGGGCCCTTTTTGGATAAACAAACCGGGGCATTGTGTTGCCGGAAAAGGGAGGGCAGATGTCGTAAAAAAAAGACAAACTTTACGGCGAATAATAGCCGAGAGATGGCTGAGGTTTGGGGAGAATTTTATATATGTCATACTGTATTTTTGTAATTTACGACGTCTATGTTTTGACAATATGTATTTTGATCAGAATTTTTAAAACATTTGAGAGATTTTATAAGCTTGCTCCAGGCCACACATATACTCCCGGACATATCTTTCTGACCACCCTTTAACTCGGCTGTTAATTGAGCTACATGTTCCAAATTTTAACTGCCCTATGTGACTGAGTGATTGAGTTACATTCACTTGAGATATGGATGGTCAGCAATTTATGTCCGGAAGTATAATCGAGGTTTGTTGGTCGAAAAATTATTTATATACATATATAATGCGCCATCTTTGTCGCCCAATTTGAATTGGCCGAAACTTCTTTATTTGCGGGTCAAATGGCCCGAAAGTTGTAAATCTTTGCGTGTCCAAAAAAATGTGTCGCGATGACACCTGTTGAAAACCTGCTAGCGGTACTTAATCAACGGCTGTATATGGCTAGAAGTAGTACCAAAAGCTAGCCAAAAAAAACTCAGGCATTGCAAAGGCCCTTGTCGCAGAAAAAGTGTTGCGCACGGCTAATGCAAGCTATTATCGAATAAACTGCTGGCCCATGTAAAGCAATGTTAGGTGTCTTGCAGTAATCACTTTTTGCCGTTATTAGCACAAGCCGGGCTGTCTTGCGAGTTTCAAAACCCGATCATCTCAAAAATCCAGAACTACCTGGATGGGTCTCTTGTGAAACACGTTGCGAACTGCTGGAGCCTTGTTAATTGAGTACTATCAGATTTTTTGCTTCTGTGGGTTCCCCTTAGTATCCTTATAAACAATCAACCGCCAGTTTTTGGCTGGTCGTAGACATTCAGGTCATTGAAGATTTTTGGCCCTACAAAATTTTTGGAAAACGTAGTCAGAATATGGGCTGGTCTAGCATTTTGGCTCGTATCAGCGGTTCAGCAAAAGTATATAGAAAATTTAAATGGTTGCAATAAAGCAGGGCAGTTGAAAATTATAAAACTATTTTTCTTTCCATTGATTATAAAATCCATCATGCAAATTGCACATTTTAAAAGGTTTGAGACTATTTTTTGTGGGTATTGTATGAGTACTACTAGTCATATGTATCCGTCTTTTATACCGCGTTTAGGCAGGTGTCATCGTGACACATTTTATAGCCACACAAAGGTTTGTAAGTCTCAAGCCTTATATAGTCATCACTCTTGTCTTACAGCTACTTTATTACAACCCTTTATGACCGTTCCTCCATCTGACCCCATCAAAACAAGCCTTTCATTCCCAATTTGCCGACCACTTTAGCCACTTTGAGGTCATCCTTTCCCCATCTTCACCCCGTCCCATTGCGCAATAAATCCATGTTTTATACATATTGTCGCTAAATTTACGAGCCCCTTGAAGGTGTTGTCAAGGCCGTTTCGACGCATAAATTACCCGCCGTCCTCTTTGCAGATCATGCGTTTCCAGATGCTGTTGGCCTAGCGGGAATGACGAGGAATTTGTTGGCCGCCCAACGGGATCGGCTGATCAGAGAGATACGAGATTTCGAAGAGGGATTTGCACGGCATTTCACGTGGATTTATGGGCATCTTCGGCAGGGAGATGAGAAGGATTCGGCGGTGGGAAAGGTAAGGAGTTTGATGAATTTTGGCACATATTTTAGCTTACATACAAAACTTTGGAGATGTATCAGTCTGTCGGGAAAATAATGAGCATAATTTCGCTTTGCCGATCGCGTCGTTGGACTGAAAAGAAATTTGATTTTGCCGCGACATAATCCATTTTTGATGCGATTTTCGTTGCGACAGAGTGCTCAGTATTTTCCCGACAGACCAATATATATTATTCGAGACTTTGAGCTTGCTTTATCAGAAATCGTAGAGATTCTTAGACCGAAATTTTCTGAAAATCCGGTTTGTTGTTAGGACTTACGAGATGTAAAGATTTGAGTAAAAGTAAGAACACTTTTTTTGACAAAAGATTTACTCGTTTCTCCTTCAAAAACGCAAGGACTTATCCTTAATGCTGTATGCCTTACAATTGGGGCTATTTTCATTTTGTATACCATTCGTTGACAAGATCGTTGAACATCTTAGCTGTTCTTGCAAAGAATGAAACAAAATTTTTAAATGGCTTATCAGTCTGTCGGGAAAATAATGAGTACACTGTCGCTGCGCCAATCTTGCCGCTGAAGCGAACAGCAACTTGATTTTGCGGCGACACAATTCATTTTCATGGCGGCGATGCGATTTTCGATGCGACAGAGTGCTCATTATTTTTCCGACAGACTGATATTTCTCGGTTAATTTAAAATTTCAAGAAGTTCAAAGAGCCTTACATTCCTCCCTTTATTGATTTCATACATACCATATATAAGCTTATTATAGACTCAAAACTTTTTCAGGTGCTCTCATCCGCTTTCAGCCCCATTTACGACAAAATGACGGAGTCATTGGAGCCAGCAATGTTGAATTCTCTTATGCTATCGTTAGCTCATTTTGGGTGTTATGGGATTTTCTTGAATCTACAGGCAGCTGTGGACTTGGAAACTCTAGAAAATGCGTATTGTAAAATACGATGGAGCGAGGGTGTGGACGATATTTTGAAAAGCTTTAATCAAGAAAGTTGCCAGCATGTTGTCTCCGCTGAAGACGCAATCAATTTCCATCGACGGCTAATACTGTGCAAGTTAAAAGTGGAACCAGTCTTGGAGTGTTTGGAGGCGAATCAAATATTCAATGGAAATGTATTGGACAAGATAAAGGTATGCTGCACAGAGCTTTGCTATAAGCTAAAGTTTATTCCCTTCTTCTTTTGTCGGTCTGTCGGAAAATAGTGAGAACTCTGATGCATCAAAAATCGTATCGCCGCCAAGAAAATCAACTGTGTCACGGTAAAATCAAATTGCTTTTCACTTTAGCGACGCGATTGGCTAGCGACATTGCGTTCATTATTTTCCCGACAGACTGATACTGTAGAACGCAGAAAAAAGCTTTTTTTTATCACAGTCCAATTTTATGTCATCAATTTTGTTTTTTTTCAGTTTCTCCTTACTTTAAATCATTTTATTCCTATCTTTCTCGACAAAAAAAAACGCCATCCACTTGATCATCTCTTTGCCGAAGCGCCACATAGCCTGTTCCAAAGTTTAGTCCCGGGGTATATTATGCAAATAACATGTTGATCGGAAGATAGTTCACACCGACACATTTTTATTTTTTTTTACAACGTTATGTACCAACGTTTCTGGCCCAATCATTATTGCGGCCCGAAAATTATAATATTTTTTTCTGATTTTTAACCAAAAAAAAAAAATAAAAATCGTCCATGCAGAAAATACTAATTCGTTAGCAAAGTCTCTGTTATGACTTCGACGAAATGCACTGTGAGAAAACTTTAGTTCAATTTTCACTGTGAAATTTTTTTATTCCCTACACCATGCAATAGGCTTTTCGCTCGCACCCTGATTTTTTTGACAATGCAAACGTCATAAATAATATGTATAATAATAACACTTCCACTTTCAGACCCAACCCTCTAGGACTTCAAAAATCAACCAACTTCTCGATTTTCTTATTTCTAACGGGTACAGCGGGTATTTCTGTGATCTGCTCATCCAGTCCGGCCAATTTGATCTCTTTGCTTTTGTGGCTGGATCGCTGTTTTCGGACGATATCAAAGCCCTTGAAAACAATGTGGCTTCTCGTAAAATGGCCCTCTCGGCATTCTGGAATGATATTGAAAACATCTCGCCTTACTGTGATATAAAACCAAGCACTTCCACGAGTGAGCCAAGTGGATTTCTGGAGATCAATGTAGATCAAGCTGATGCGGATACCGAGTTGCGGTTGTATAGGTGCAATAAAGCTCATGTGAGTTTAATTTTCTTCTAGTATTTGGATGTGTGAACTAAAACTAATCAAAAGATAAGTCTCAACAAGAAACCCTGAATTTTTGGCATTCTGTTGCAAGTCGATTTTTTGGTAAAATACGGGACCTGGACTAAGTTCTAGACAATTTTTGCCAACTTTTTGAAGTAATAATGTTGTTATAGTAGTAAAAATTATATACACGATTACGGTATTTTTTTTACTTTTTTTTAAAATTTCTTTTTAGGTCTATAAAAATTTCTCGTCGCCGAAAGGCTTATGCTTAGTCATCAACAATCGCGAATTCGCCGTGCATCCGCATCGATCAGGAACGGACGTTGACGAGGAGAATATTACAAAGTTGTTCAGCAAACTGGGATATCGGGTGGAGACTTATCGGAATTTGACGGGATCGGTAAGGAGATTATTGAATTCCATTCTTTGGTAAAATTTCAGAAAAAATCAGCATATTTTTGGTAAAAAATCAAGGATTTTTTGATCAAAAAGTCAAAAATTTTCCACCAAAAAATCGGTATTTTTCTATCAAAAAATCAACATTTTCATTAAAAAACGTCATTTGTCGACCAAAAAATCAACATTTTTCAGCAAAAAAAAACAAAAATTTTCCGTTAAAAAATCAACATTTTTTAGCAAAAAAAAACAAAAATTTTCCATCAAAAAGTGATATTTTTCATCAAAAAAAATCAAAATTTTTCCATTAAAAAATCAGCATAATTCCACCAAAAAATCAGCATTTTACTTTCAAAAAATCAAAATTTTCAAAAAAAAATCAAAAATTTTCCACTAAAAAATCACCACTTTCCACCAAGAAATCAGCATTTTCCATTACAAAATCGCCATTTTTAGCAACTAATCTCCGCCGCCAAACAATTTAGTCAACGCTCCGAACATCAACGTGCTCACAGTACCGTAGTCGTCGTTCTGACGCACGGAGAATACGATCAACTGATCGGGGTGGATGGGAATTACGTCCGACTGCATGAGGAATTCCTCTACTATTTCAGTGCCACAATGGCGCCGAATTTGGCCGGAAAACCGAAATTGTTCTTCATTCAGGCCTGTCGGGGACGTAAGTTCGGTTTTGATTTTATCTAGTCATTGTGAGTACTGTAGACGACAGGAGGAAAGGAAAACAGCCTCTTTAGAGCGAAAAACAAGGTCTGCGTTGCAAAACGTGAGCTAAAATATCTAGCGATTGATTTGCGACCTAAAAAGATTACGATTTTTTTGCTCTTATGTGGCAAGTTCTAAACGACTTTCTTTCAATTTCAACTCATAGGGGAAATACCCCAAGCGCGACGCTCAGATTATGATGAAACTAGGCACCGATCTATAATAATTTATTCTAAGATATATGCGAGATTCCTACCTCGCGCGTTGCAGAAACGACCGAGATTTTTAGGTCAAAAGTTGGCAAAAATGTGCCGTTTTTTTGGCGAATTTTGGAAATGAAACGTTTAGTAGCTTTTTCTACTGGAGAGAACAATTTTTCTACAAAAAAACAATATTTTTTCTTCATGAAACCGGTAAAGATATGGCCAAAAAGTGTTCTTCTCTCTGACCGATCTCCGTGTTTCCCGTACTCTCCCTGCGGCAAAGATCGTTCAATATCTCAGCTACGCCTACAAAGTACGAGATAAAAGTTTTAGGAGTTGATAAGTGGCCTATGTCTGACGTTTGTGCAAAATTAAAAGAAAATCTGAAGATCGCACTTGGGGCATTTACCTTGCCAAAGAATTGGGCATTATATGTATAGAAAACAGGACCCCGGCTTTAAGAATTTTCTCTAGTATGTATTTTTACCAAGGAAATGGCGAAATTCTCATCATGAGCCTCTTTCAGACGACAACGATCCCGGTCGGCGAGTTTCATTGCCAGCCGACTACCAGGACGGTAAAAACAAACTCCGCTCCAAAACTGACGGGATTCTCAGCTCCTTGGCCAAACAACTGAATCTTCGGCCGAGCACTCCAACTAGTCCGGAAGTGCCGTCCATGAAACTGCCGGCTAGCCTGATTAAGCCCAAAAAATCGCTAAAAGTCCAAGGGATCACTGCTCCGACAACTTTTGCTAACACCGCATTTGCAACGCCTCTGATTGAGACGAAAATGCCAATAATGGCCGACTTTTTGGTGGCCTATTCGACCGGCCCCGGCTTCGTTTCATGGAGAAATTCGATCAATGGGACTTGGTTCATCCAATCGATTTGTGAGATCTTTAGCAAGGAAGCCGCTAGGGACGACATCTTGGACTTGTTGACAAAGGTGAGGTCCTGTAAAAGAGGTTAAGAGATTCTCATGCAAAATTGGCCAAGATACAGCGCGAAAATTATTTTTCTCTGATCGTTCTCCGTGTTTCGTGTACTGTCTCTCACAAGCAAAGTCTGTTCATTACCTCGGTCGTCTTTGTAAAGCATTCGCTAAAATTTTTAAGAATGGCGCTCAGCCTAACAATAAGTAAATCATAGTGGCAAAGTTTGAAGAAACCAACTGGCATCTCAGATTTTCAGCAAATTTTCCGTTCGTCTTTTTACTTACCAATTCCTGACACGATATGCTGCCTTTTTGGCATTCTGTTGCAAGTCCATTTTTTGGTAAAATACGTCGTATGGACCAGTTTCGAAGCAATTTTCGCCATTTTTTTTGAATTATGTGTCGTTATGATAGTAAAAATTACATAACAAACCACGAAAAATTCGTAATCAAAATTAATGTTTTTTTATTTTCAGGTGAATCGTCAAGTCGCCAAAGTCTACGAGAGCTCCGGTGAGGGTTTCAAGCAGATCCCTGAATTCAGTAGTCGACTTCAGCGGAAATTTTACTTTTATCCAGGTGTCGTGTCGGATGAATAAACTGTAAATAGTCCAATTTTTTCATATTTTTTTTTAAACACAGCACGCCGTTAAGCGTATTTTAAAAATCATTTGGTCGTTATTTAGAGCCTATTCTGGAGTTTTAAACCTGATTTTTTATTGATTTTATCGATTTTTTTGAATTTTTTTTTAAAATTTTTATATTTTTTTCAAATTTGCGACTAAAAATTGGTCAAAATTTACTCTTCAAAATGAAAATACTTATTCTTAATAGCTTGTAATAACAATTCGAAGAAAAAATTTATAAGATTTCACTGATTTTTTTCCCCGAATTTCCCCAAACTCCCCCAATTTCCCTCTATTTTCCACTTTTCACCCCAAAAATCGGTTGATTTCCCTAATTTCCCTCTCTCAAAATATGAGCACGTCCGCAGCATCAAGTCAACATCATTCTCTAACACCTGGCCCATGCCTGATCGAGCCGATTGTGGTCCAAAATTTGGGGCAAAAATCGACTCTGATCAAATGCCCCAACTGTAAAAAGAACGTGCAAACTCGTGTTGTCTACAAGATTGGGCGCGTCACATGGTGGTTGTGCTGCGTGTTGGCGTTCTTCACATTGTGCTTGCTGTGTTGTTTCGTCTTCTTCTTCAAGAGCTGCAAGGTGAGCGGGGTTTTGGGGGTTGCAACGGAATGCCAAAAATTCAAAATTTTTTGGGAAACAAAAGAGCACTGAAAATTTATAATAGAAAAAATAAGCAACACAAAAGTTCTCTGAGCGTATTTTACCTGTATTTTCAACAATTTCCGACAGTTTCTGCAATTTTCAGGTTTTCGCTGCGGGACCCAGAATTTTTTCTAATCAGTCTTTCTTTTTTGAAATGTAGGTCCTGTATTGAGTGTAAGCACGTATTATTGGCGTATTTTAGGATGCGCACCACTACTGTCCATCATGCGGCTTTTTCATTGGAGTCAACGCGAGATGAAAATCATGGTGAATATAACCCGTCAAGATAAATGTATATTACCGGAACCGTTGAATAATCAATAAACAGGCCTATTTTGGCTATTGAAACGTATTTTGCGACTTGACTTCGAAGACATCGTATTTTAAACATCCATCGTATAATATGGCACTGCAACCTGCACCACCATCGGACGCAGCTCGATTGTTCCGAAAATAATTTTTCTTTCTGGAATTTTTGTCAAAAATGAATCAAGCACAATATCTCTTGGTTTTACTGGTATTTTCGACCCTTGCAAGTTGTTCTAAACCTAAAAAAGATGTGAGAGATTTTTCTGATGCCGACTTTGAACGACTTTTGGATGAATGGGAAGAAAACGATGAAGAACCACTGGAGGAAGATGAAAAGCCAGATCATTTGAAGCCCAGACCCGGTATAAACATTGAAGAATTGAAGAAACAAGTGAGTTTTTTATAGATTTTTGTTGTTTTTGCTTTAGATTAGTATTTATTGGAGGAATAAGGTAAATTGAGGTTTGTGAAGGAATGTGGAGGCAATGAGAAGTTTAAGGTTGTTGGAAGAAGTGCGACAGGACTTGTTCTTGCTGCTTGAAGCTATATGAGTTGGTCATGTACTTTAATGGATTTGGTTTTTTTGAGGATTTGTTTTTTTTTTTGACGTCTAAAACATGATGGGGAAATTTATGAATAACTTTCGCAGTGTGCCTTGTTAGGGCAATCTTTTTATGTCAGAGCAAGGTGATAGTATGCTCCCACTCTCCTCAAAATTCTGCAGAATTTTAGCCGTTAACCCCTGAGATCCACCTCGATCTTCTCCACAACCACCTTCACTATCTACTTTAATATAAAAATTGCTCATAACTTTTTGGATTCCATCTCGGATGAAGACCTTTTTTAGGCCAAGAATCCAGACGATCTCCTCCGTCTTTCCAAGAAGTCTCAGCCTGTTATGATGTTTGTCAGTGTTGTTGACAACGGGAAGAAAGCAACTCGTCCGTTCACCGAGAAAATGTCCGATATTTGGCAGTCGCAGCTGTTTAACAATCACATCGATCTTCAGGTAAGCTTTTTATTGCTTTGTTTATGTTTTAGGCTGGATCTTCGAGCAATTTGTGGAGGAATTTCCCTGATTTTCTTACTGTAACATTCATTTTTCTCTTTTAGACCTATGTGGTCGAAGATGATCGAATATTATTCATGTTCAAGGATGGCTCGAGGGCTTGGGAGGGTCGTGACTTCCTTATTAAGCATAAAGAATGTAAAGAAGTCACTTTGGAAGGGCAAACCACGAATGGCGCCGGATTCACTGAGGAGAAGACCGAATTGTGATCGTTTCTCTTGCATTTTCTCAATTTTAGGGTATTAAAAATCTCATATCAAGCTTAATACAGCCTTTTTTTCTCAGTGCCTTAATAAATTATTGACGATTTTATTGAGCCATTTCATCAATTATATTGGTTTAATGACCAAAAATTAATATTTTGAATCAATTTTTAGTGGATTTGAGGTGTTATTTTTGCATTTTCGTGGGTAATCTTGCTTTGATTATAGTAAATTGAAGGATTAACACCTCGTATTTTACATATGTTTTCCATTTTTTTCATTTATATTACTTTAGACGGGTATGAATACGGAAAAGGCTCAAAAAAGTGCGGAAGAGTTTGCGTTGAACCATGTTGCCAGTCTCTTTCAACGCCCTGACCAACTGGAGAAGCTGGAAGTACTCAAAAAACGAGCAGAACGTAAAAAAGTATGCTTTTATTTGAATTTTTTCTCTGAAATTTAGATTTTTCTTGGAATTTCCGGAAATTTTTCCAATGTAATTTCAAAATTCAGGCCGCAGTCGAAGCCATGCTCCGGACCGGCGTTCAATCACAGCTGGAGGGGATTCGCAGCGCCATGAATCACCTGCAAACGGCCAGCGGTGATATTGGACTCATCGAAAAGGAGTGAGTTTCGAAAATTTTGAAGATTCATTCTTGTTTTTGCAAGATGGAATGGCTAAACGGTCCTGTGAATGCGTAAGCGAGTAATTTGAGGGGGATTTTCAAGGGTTTGGAGAGGTTTTGAAGAGCTACCCTGATGTTCAGGGATTTCGTGGTGGGACCTAAAATTCGCTGATGGCACCGATAAAAAATTTTTTGTTGACAAGGAAAAATCATGCTCTAGATAAAGCTTGATGATTTTGGAACCGATTTTCATTGATTTCTTGACTTTTCAGGTTTTCGTGTCGGGACCTAAAAATCTCAACAAAAAGGAAAACCTCGTATTTTACAAGTTGTAAGTGACTATTGAGACCACAGTACTCACAAGGAAAGTACTTCTATGGGGTATGGAGTTACAGGTCGAGACATATACCAAAAAATCGCAAAAGTTTTCTAATTCGGAATATGTAAAAATTAGCTGCCCAATTGTGGTTTGTAAGGGAGAAAACCCCTCAGAACTTTTCTTGCAACACCACGCAAATACCTTTTTGACCAAGTTTTTACCAAATCAAAAGTTTCGTTTTGAGCTAAAGTAAACCCTGGGGCATCTTGACAAGCCTTAAAATATCAAATTTGATTAATATTACACCTTAATAGCAGTCCCAATGTAAAAATGGGGCATTGTAGTATTAATCAAGTTTGATATTTTAAGGCTTGTTAAGATGCCCTTGGGTTTAAGTTAGCTCAATACAAAACTTTTGAATTGGTAAAAACTTGGTCAAAAAGACATTTGCGTGGTGTTGCGAGCAAAGTTCTGAGGGGTTTTTTCGCCCTTAAAGACCAAAATTGGGCAGCTAATTTTCACATATTCCGAATCAGAAAAAGTTTGCAATTTTTTGGTATATGTCCCGACCTGTAACTCCATACCCCATAGAAGTACTTTCTTTGTGAGTATTGTGGTCTCAATAGTCGCTTACAACTTGTAAAATACGGTGTTTTCACGTTCGTTGAAATTTTTGGGTCCCGACACGAAAACTTGAGAAGTCAAAAAATCAATGAAAATCGGTTCCAGAATCGTCATGCTTTGTCTATATGAAATACTAAACAAATTTCCTGCTCAATTACTTCAAATTGCTAAAACCGACATGAAAATTATATTGTAGTATGCATGAAGTCCTGAAGCGACTGCAGACAATCCCGGCCCTCAAAGCCCGCCTCAGTCGACTGGCCGAAGCCAACATGATCCACTCGCAATATGCTGCCGCTATGGACAATCTGAAACATATTTTCAATATCAACGAGACGATTGAAATTACCCATTCTCATATAATGGATGGCCGATTGTTGTATGCCCATAAAAATATAATGGAACTGGAGAATGCCCGCGACGACTTGATGAATGAAGTCCATAAAGTCCAAAGCGACAAACGAGAATACAATATTAATGTAGGTTACGGTAGAATTCGGGTTACGGTAGATTTTTGTCTTTTTGGGATTACTGTAGTTTTGTGGAGTTTTGAGTTGGAAAATGAGGAAAAAATGATTTACTGGTAAAATTAGGTGGATTTGAGGTCTATAGTGTGTTTCTACAGCTATTTGAAGACATAAATTATACAAAAATTTATTTTTATACCTAAAATAATATAATTGAAGTTGCTCAAAAACTATTTCGCCGAAGTGGACAAATTGGTGGTGGAGTTGGAGAAACAGATCTTTTACATCTGTAGCAGAGCCCTCGAGGCAGTCAGAGGAGAAAATGCGGGCCCACAACAACTGGTTTCAGCCCTGAGAATTATTGAAAGAGAACAAAGAATCGATGATTATTATAAAAAACAACAAACGGTAGGTTGATTTTCGGCGGATGGAGATAAAATAGAGGTAAAATACGGCATTGGTTTTTTTGTTTTTTTGGGGTCAAGTTGCTTTGGATTTTTTGCGATTTTTGTTTAAAATTTTGTGATTTTTTGAATATTATTGGTATTTTTTCATGAAAATTTATTGTTTAAACACCTCCAAAATAAATTGTAGGATGCGAAAAACGATTATAGTTACTTTACAGGTCATTTTACACTTTTTGAAAACTAAAATTTTGCGAAAAACCCCGGAAAATCGCTAAAAAATTGATTTTCTCTAGAAAACCCTCAAAAAATCCTAAAATTTATATCATTTTTGATTCAAACATGACTCTCCGATACTCCAGGCCAACCCCTCATCATTCCTCCCACCCGGCCGACCGCGTCAATGGCGCAAAAAACTGTTCACCGTCCTCTCGAAAACCGTCAAAGACCGGATCGAAGGAAATCAACTGGAAGAACGAATAAATAACAAACAATGGCTTGTCAGGTACCTCGAAGTTTGCCGGAGAATCGTCATAGATGACCTACAGGTCGTAAAGAGCGCCCTGCTTCCCTGCTTCCCACCGCATTATATGATCTACGACCGATATATTCATTTTTATCATGAGGCCTTGAGCAATAGGGTAAGTGGAATATAAAGGCGATTTTTGGGGTAAAATAGGAGTGTTGTTGATTTTTATTGATAAAAATAGGATCAGGAGGCTTTATGGGGTACTTTAGGAAGTTTTGACGGACTTCCCTCATTTTCAGGTTTTCGTGGTGGGACAAAAATTTTTGGAAATTTCGAGGTTTAATGGTAATACAAAGGTTTATGAGTATTAAAAGGCATAAAATAGTGAAATTTGGGGTTTTTAAAACATTTTTGGGTCTCACCACGAAAACCCTGAACATCAGGGAAACCCGGAAAATTTGTAAAATACGCTTTTTTGAAGGCCTCTGCATTTATGAGTGATAATTTTTAAGTATTAAAATATTTTCAGCTCCGCCAAATCGCCTCGGATGAGCTGGAAAAGAACGAATTGGTCCAACTGCTCAACTGGATCAAGTCCTACGGCTCAAATGAGATGCTCGGCAACCCCAAATTGGGCATCGAAATCAACGAACTGCTCAAAGAAAAGCCCCTGCTCCCCCGGTCGACCAGCGACTTCTTGTACGACAAATTCGTGGACGTCACACAGCAAAATATGACCGATTGGCTGGAGAAGGCGATCCAAGGAGAAGCCGAGGAATGGCGAAAGGAACCGATCAACGAAAGAGAAATGCCCGATATTGATGAAGACAGCGCCGGATGCTATTACACACAACTACCCAGCATCTTGTTCGGAATGGTCGAGGATCAGGTGGGATTTGGGAAATTGAAATTTGAATTCCCGCCAAAATTTGAAAATGATTTTTGACGGAAAAATCAGTGGAAATTGGGGTCTTTTTTGAGTGATGTTGTGATTTGAGGATGCTAAAATTAATTTTGGAGGGATTTCAGATAATTTTGGCGGCTTTTGAAATTTTGAATTTCCCGCCAAATTTTGAAATTGAATTTTTGGGTTTGGAATGAGCAAAAATATTTGGTTTTTGGGATTTGGAGAGGGTAAAAATAGAGTGGGATATGTAAGGTAGAGTTTGAAATGTTAAAAAATTGAATTTTTAAATTTCCCGCCTGAATTCAAAATTTTTTGGCATTCTGTTTCAAGCTTGAATGGTATTTTCTAAACGATAATTTATGCGTTTCCAGGTCTCCCTAGCCAAACAGATCACATCCGACATCGTGCCGCGGATCATCGAGGCATCCGTTGACTGCTTCCTAGATGCCGCCACAAGGTACAAGGAATTGCTGACCGAATATAAAAACGAGCACTTTGGAGAAAGCCGAAAGCATCGGTTCTTCACACAACATGTGGTAAGAATGAAATTCATTGTAAAAGACATGGTACTGTCCGTTGATAATTGAAATTTCTTGCCTATTTTGAAAGGTTATGGCATTCTGCAAAAGGAACTTAAAGCAAGGAAAGAAGTGAAATTCTTGGGGTTAATTGCAAAATTCGAAACGTCTCATTGTTTTTGTACGAAATCTTGTTTATTTTTGATTTGCCCGCAGATTTTCAAGTTTTCTTGGCATTCTGCAACAAGCCATAAAACCGTTTGTAATTGGTCGAGACTTGGGTATTCAGCAAAAAGAAGCCTCCAACAACGTATTTTACACCTAATTTTGTAGATTGCAATGTTAGTTTTTTTGAATTTCCCGCTGATTTTCAAGTTTTCTTGGCATTCTGCAGCAAGCCATAAAATCGCTTGTAATTCGTCGAAACTTGGGTTAGGAGAAATAAGGAGCCTTCTGCAACGTGTTTCACACCGAATTTTGCAGATTGCAATGTTAGTTTTTTTTGAATCTCTCGCCAGTTAAAATTTTTTTGGCATTTTGCAACAAGTCCTAAAACCGCTTGTAATTCGTCGAAACATGGGCAACGAGGAATCAGAAGTTCTCTTCAACGTATTTTCGAATTTAGAATAATATTTGCAGATTGCAATGTTAGGTTTTTTTTGAATTTTTTGCCAATTTTAAATTTTTTTGGCATTCTGCAACAAGCCATAAAACCGCTCGTAATTGGTCGAGACTTGGGTAACGAGGGATCAGAGGTACTCTTCAACGTATTTTACACCTAATTTTGCAGATCGCGACCGCCAACAACATGGACATTTGCAACGAATGCACGGATAAATGGGAAATCCACATCCGCCTCAACATGGAAGGCATCTCGGACATCCCCAAAAGCGAAACCCCAACCTCGCCACGCTCAGTCTCCGGGATTTGCTACGTAAATCGCAAGGAGTTGATCGAAAAAATTGGGAAATTGAAAGAAAAATGGCAGTTTGTCATGCAGCACGCGATCGCAATTCTAATGGAGGAATTGAACAACGACGTCAGCAAACATTTGGACGTTTTATTCAGCAAACAATGGCTCCGGGGATCGACGGACTTGGGCACAATTCGACTTACCATTCAGGACTATTACACGGACTATGTCCATTTAAGGGTGCATATAAGGCTTTCGCTGATCAAGGAGATTGCCTACAAGCTGATTGGAGAATATTTGATAGCGATTGAAGCCAGAAGACTGACTTTTTCGACCTATGAGGACCGAGCGCAGGCCGCGGAACAGCTGAAATACGACTCGAAATCCATTGGAGACATGCTGCACAGCCTGCCGGACATTGAATTTGATGTAAGTTTGGGGCAAAAAAAGGTGGGAAATGAATTGAATGGAGTTAGAGGAAGATTATAATGGGATTGGAATGTTTTGGACAAATTTGGCCATAGGAATCGGAGTTGCAGCGAAAATTTGAGGTTTTAGCCTCTGCACGGTGCGGAATTTGAAAAATTTTGATTTTTTGAAGGGTAACGAGATTTTTTTGAGTAGAAAAGGGTGTTATAGGAATGGGACTGAGTTATTACAAGTATTGGGAAAAAAAATTTGATCAAAATTTGTTGGTCCATCAAAATTTTCGACTTTTTCTTGGTCACTGCACAGTGCGGATTTGAAAAATTGAAAATTTGACTATTTTGAATTTTTTTAAGTTGTGAACATAGAAAGTGGAGATTGATAGAGCTTTTGTGACTCACTAGTAATATCAGGGCGTTCGGTTTTATGTGGAAAAATTTTTTGAACGGAATTTTTGAATTTTTGGGCTGCACCGTGCGGTTTTTAAAATTTGCTTGTTTCAACGGATTTTTTTCGGATTTGCAGGCATAAAAAGTAACAAAATCAGGGGTAGCGATATCTCTAAGCCTTTTGCTATTGGTTTTAGTAGCTCCGATGCTCATTTGGACGTAGTTTAAAAAAAAATTTTTTTTGATGCACTGTGCAAAATTGAAAGATTCTGAAAGTTGAAAGGGAAATTTGAAGAAAAAATTAGATTGATTTTTTAAAATACGGTTGACTTTCTCTTTAGTTTTTTTTACAGTGAAGGACCCGATCCAGTGGCAAAAAACGTACCATTTTGCATCCGGGAAGCATTAAAAATGTGGCAAAATGCTTCCCTCTCCAAGTGAAAAAACTTCGTTTTGAAGGGCGCGCTTTTGTAATCAGAATTTTTTCACTTGGGGAGAGAAGCATTTTGCCACATTTTTGATACTTCCCGGATGCAAAATGGTACGTTTTTTGCCACTGGATCAGTCCCGCAGTGTAAAAAAAAGCTAAAGAGGAAGTCTGACGTATTTTAAAACATCAACCTAATTTTTTCTTCAAATTTTCCTTTCAATTTTCAGAATCTTTCAAATTTTGCACAGTGCACTCAAAAAAGTTTTTTTTAGAAATACGTCCAAATGAGTATGGAAGCTGCGAAAACCAATACCAAAAGGCTTAGAGATATCCCTACCACTTATTTTGATACTTTTTATGCCTGCAAATCCGAAAAAAATCCGTTGAAACAAGCAAATTTTAAAAACTGCACGGTACATCCCAAAAAAATCGAAAATTCCGTTACACTATTATAAGTTGATTTCAGTACCCTGGGTTGCTCACTGTCCTCCCAGCAATGGCCGATATTCTGGATCTCCGAGACAAATCCCTGCTGTCTCTGGAGACCAGCTCCTTTGTCCGCAAATTCCCAGACGTCCAACCAGAGCTACTGTCGTCTCTACTGTCCCTACGGGAAGACCTAACCCGTCAGGAAGCCAAATTAACAGCAGAACAGGCCCTAAATAATATACGACATCAGCCAAAAGGAAGCGATCAAAGCATGGTAAAATTGTTCCAATGTATAAAGTCGGATGGGAAAAGAACACTCCCAGCCCTAGAGGAGACCATGCACAACATGTTCGCAACACTGGTCATGACTGCGAATAAAGTCGACCGGTAGAAAAATTGAAAATTGGGAATTTTCGGAAGGCATAATTTGGAGGTAAAATAAGGTGAAAATTGCAAAAAAGAGGAGGGAATGGGATAGAATGATTGTAGAATAGTAAAAATAAGTTATGAAAAATGATAAGATCCAAGCTTTTGCTGATTTTTCGGCTGAAAATTGATACTTTTTGAGGGTTTTTCTCAAAAATTCTTGTTTTTAAGCGATTTTTGGAAGTTTTCGCTGAATTCAAGTGTTTTTAGCTGGAATTTTGACAATGATAATACTTCAACTGTCATTTTCTTACATTTCAGTCTATATTTTACATAATTTTCCATCAAAAAATTATGTTTTTATCACTTCACCACTCATTTTTTGTTCTATTTTACCTTTTTTAATCCAAAAAAGTTTTTTTGGCTTGTAAAATACGACGGATGCCATTTGAATTTTATTTATTTTGAAAATAGACAACTTAAAATTTGACAGAATACTGTAATTTATTGCGAGAAATAAAGTTTTATTTATGGAGTTTGGTGCAATTACAACATCATCTTGGTGCGTGTTTCATTTAGTCGGTCCAAAAATTCGAAATGCTCCTTGGTGAACAACGAATTGTCGGGTTGTCCTGAAAATTTACATAATTTTCGAAAATTTACATAAATTTTCCAAAACTGCAAAAAATCTTGGTGGTTTGATGAAAAGCCCAAAAATTTGCATAATTTTGCACATTGACGAATTTGCAAAAAAAAATTCCAAGATTTTCAGCATAAATTTACCGAAAATTACAGGGTTTCCAGAGAAATTCCGCGAAAAGTTTTTGTCGAGTTCTTGGCGCTCAGGCAAGATATTCAAAGAATTCTTTTTGCAGTAGAAAGAAGAATATGGACGGTTTTTCCACTAAAAAACTTCTTCTTCTTTCCGCCAACGAGGAAAGTGGTGTATTCGGCAGAGACTTTTGATCGCTTTTTTGGTCATTACACCAATCTTAGACGCTTTATTTGTCTTTTTTTGACCAAAAAAGCGATCAAAAGTCTCCGCCGAATACACAACTTTCCTCGTTGGCGGAGAGGAGAAGTTTTTTAGCCGAAAAACCGCCCATCTTCTTCTTTCTACAGCTAAAAGAATTTTTTGAATATCTTGCCTGAGCGCCGAGAAATCGACAAAAACTTTCTGCGGAATTTCTTTCTCTGGAAACTCTGTAATTTTCGGCAAATCTATGCAAAATCTTGCAATTTTTTTTTGCAAATTCGTCAATGTGCAAAATTATTCAAATTTTTGGACTTTTTATCAAACTACCAAGATTTTTTTGCAGTTTTGCGTTAATTCTGCATTAACTTACTGCCATCAATGTCCTTGATTCCATACTCCTTTCCGCATTGTATGGAATTGATTATCATCCCCGTTTTCTTCATCAAATTCGGGTCCGTCGCCAACTTGACGATGCATTTCCCGGAGAATTCGGGAGACTCCGCTTCAGCGTAGGCATCAATCACTGATTGGCGCTTGATTAAGCCGACTTCTTTGGAAAATAATTCGGTTCGATTGGGCGCAGGATAGAAGGAAATACAAGGGATATTGAACTCCTTGAGCTCCCAGGCAATGTCTGAGGCCATTCGGTCCAGCTGAAAGGGAAGAATTAGAATTTTTGGCGGAATTTTTGGATTTTTTCAAATTTTTTTTAAAAATTTGCAATTTTTTGCATTTTGGAATATTAATTTTGATTACAGTACGGTCTTTGGAAGCTAGCAAAGTTTCAAGATTAGTAAAAATTTTGTTGTTCCATGAAAATTTGCGTCTTTTGGGTCCCACCACGAAAACAATGAAATTGGAAAAAATCTCACAAAACGACTCAACGTTGTCCAAAGTTATAAATAGTATCTTTGAAAGGACCACGGCACTCCAAGAAACAAAAAATCTTGATTTGGGTCCCACCACGAAAACAATAAAATTGGGAAAGTTCTCGCAAAGCGGCTAAAATTGCCCAAAACTGTGAATAATACCATTAAAGGTACCAAGACGCTCCAAGGAACAAAAAAATCTCAATTTGGGTCCCACCACGAAAACAATAAGTTTAGGAAAAATCCCACAAACGGCTCTCAGAGTCTTTGGAATTGCAAATTTTAATAAATTTTGATTTAGAGGTATACATTTTTATTTTTTTCAACCTTCTTTTTTATGATAAACCCACTCTTTTCCCATCAATTTCTCTTTTTGTCCCCACCCTTTTTTCTCTTTTGCCAGCCGAAAAAACCCGCACTCAAAGAGAAAACCGAGAGAACCCGGCCCGTGTGACTCCGTGGCGCAACGGTAGCGCGTCTGACTCCAGATCAGAAGGTTGCGTGTTCGAATCACGTCGGGGTCAAAATTGTTTTTGGTTGATTTTATGGTGGGATAGTGGGGTTTAGATTATGCACATCATCTATATATTTTATATTTTGTAGATTCATGAGGTTTTTTCGAAAATTTTGAAAAGGAAACGATTTTTTGCGGATTTTTTCGTTTTTGGAAGGAAAGTTTGGCTTCTCTTTGAGATTTTTGATTGAATTTGGATTTATAATGGTAAAAAATAAACAGGTTATATCGTATTTTAAACCGACCTTTGGATAATTTGTATTTTACAATCAAAAAACCCTTTAATTTTCCCAAAATAAAAAAATTATTCCAAAAAAATTTCAAAATTTTCCAAGAAAAAATCAATGTCTAAAAATTGAATTTTGAACTTACTCCAGCTTTGCCAACGCCATACGCAACATTAAACGTGTAGTTTATCCCTCCAAACGAGCTGATATTGACAATAAATCCCTTCCCCTTTTGAATCATCATTTTGGCCGCGTGTCTGGCGCACCAGTAATGGCCCTTTAGGCCGGCATTGTTCAAGGTGTCATAGATGTCCTCCGGGAGGTCGAAAAATTTTGTATGCATGTATTTTAGCATGTACTGAAAATTTTGTAAAATTAGAATATTTTTAAAAAATTTGCATAATTGAAAAATTTGAATATCCATAAAGGTTTAAAAATGAAAAATTTTGATAATTATCAAAATTTGCATATTCAAAAAAATTTGAATATTCAAATTTTTTCAAAAATTAAAATTCAAAAAATCCATAAAAATTCCTTACCGGCACTCCAGCAAACGCATTGTTGACAAGAATGTCCAAATGGCCATCTTGTTCCCGCTTGATTTGATCAAAAACTGCAGCAGTTTCGTCGGAATTATCATGGTTACAGTAAATCGGAATCGCTTTTCCACCGAGATCTTCTATCTGAAATTAAAAAAAAAACATTAGAGTTTTCAAAAACGGCGAATTTTTTTTGTTTTGCTGTTTCAGACATTTTTTTAATTTGAAAATTTCGCACGGTGCAAAAATTTTTTTTTAAAAAAGTTTGGCTAAAACAGCATTGGATTTGTGAAAGTTATAAAGTAATTAGTAGTTTTTGGCGCTGTATAATTATTTTATTTTATCTTATTTTTCGTATTTTACCATGATTTTGCACTGTGCAGGCAAAAACTTTTTGCACAGTGCAAAAAATTTTTTTTTAAAATTTTGGCTAGCAAAAGCGATGCGATCAAAAAATTATTAGACACATATTTGTCTGCAGTGCTAGAAAAACAATCATAAACATTGGCGAAGCGTATTTTACCCCATTTCTACACTAATTGTAACTTCAAAAATTTACTGCACAGTGCAAAATTTTTTCCCCCAAAAATCCTCAAAAATTCCGATTTTTCGTCAAAAAATTTAGTCAACCTACTTCTTTAGCCACACTCTCCAACGTAGGCAGCTTTTCTCGGACCGCTTGAATCATAGGATCTTCATCTTCCATGCGCAACGCAGTGATATACACAATACAGCCGGCTCGGCCCAATTCTTTGGCAATTCCGCGGCCGCAGCCGCGCGAAGCGCCAGTTACCAGAGCCACTTGGCCTCTGAGGACTTGATTCTCACTGTTTTGGACCATATTTTTCTAAAAATCTCGAAAAATTTTATTTTGAAAAATAAAAAAAAATCGAAATTTTTCTCGAAAAATGAAATTTTCAGCCGCGGAAAGCACTTTTATTGTGTAGAATATGGCGCTGATAAGACTGTTACTTACAGTTTTTCCAACCAAAATTGATATGAAATCGGCAAAAGTACAGTGAAAAAAGGAAAATGGGGAAAAATTGATAAGAAAGCTGTAAAAATGTCAATTCGAGTTGTTAGTGGCACGCGTACAGAATTGATAAAACTTAAATTGCCTATTTCAAGTGTCGTTTGTCTACTGTCCTTTCTGGACTGTCGCTGGGGTGATTTTTGCGATATGCACTGTGCGAAAACAAAAGTTCACTTTGCACTGTGCGATTTTTTTGCTTTTTGCACTGTGCAATAGGCTTTTTTGGGCTGTCGCTCGCACGGACTTTTTTTGCACAGTGCAAACGGCAAAAATCAGTCCGGCGACACGCACTGTGCGAAAACAAAAGTTTTCTTTGCACTGTGCAATTTCTTGCTTTTTGCACCGTGCAAATGGTTTTTTTGGGATGTCGCTCGCACGGATTTTCTTCGCACAGTGCAAAAATCAAAAACCTGTCCAGCGACATGCACTGTGAGAAAACAAAGGTTCACTTTGCACTGTGCAATTTCTTGCTTTTGCACCGTGCAATAGGCTTTTTTGGGCTGTCGCTTGCACCCTGATTTTTTTGCACAGTGCAAAAATCAAAAACCTGTCCTGCGACACGCACTGTGCGAAAACAAAAGTTCACTTTGCCCTGTGCAATTTCGCGTTTTTTTGCACAGTGCAAAAGTCAAAGACAGTCCGGCGACACGCACTGTGCGAAAACAAAAGTTCACTTAGAACTGTGCGATTTTTTTGCTTTTTGCACCGTGCAACAGGATTTTTTGGGCTGTCGCTCGCACCCTGACTTTTTCGCACAGTGCAAACGCCAATAATCAGTCCGGCGACATGCACTGTGCGAAATCAAAGTTTCACTATGCACTGTGCAATAGGCTTTGTTGGACTGTCGCTCGCATCCTGACTTTTTTCGCACAGTGCAAACGCTAAAAATTTTCTAGGAAGGTCAAGACGTGGCTCTAGGGCCGAAAATCGCGGCCAAATATGTCATATCTCGTCATTCATTACGAGATGTAACATATTTTCTTATTATAACAATCAACAACAAATATTTAAAACGAAAACTCATCAACTATTGCCTGCAGTAATTCAAAAAAAAACCAATTTTAAATTTATTGTATAAATCTTGGTTTTGCGTTTTATTTTTATTCGCATCCCCAATTTTCGCTTGGAAACCCAGAATTTTGATCATTCCAATTTGGGGCGGGAGCCCCACTGCACGGCAACCCAGGGAGTCTCCCGCCTCGTTTCGGCGCTTCGCCCACCTAGTATCGGTTGAATTCAAACGAAATGTCAAAAATGAATTTTCGTGTGGTTTTCCGACCGAAAAATATTTTTCTCGGAATCATTTTATTTCTTTTGTGAATTTTGACACTTCGTTTGGACGAAATTCCAAAGTGGGCGGGAGACATTTTTGTTCTATTTTGGGTTGCCGTGCACTGCCATGTCTATTTTGGGCTGTCGCTTGCACCCTGAAGTTTTTTGCACAGTGCAAACACCAAAAATTATTCCTGCAAGCTTCCGGAAGGGCTAGTGCAAGGAAGGTGCGATCTAAAAAATTTTCGTCACTGACTGAAGAGCCAAGAAATTTGGAATTCTAGAGCAGAGAAAAAACTAAAAAAATCTTCAAGGCGAGAGATTAGAAATTTGCGCAATTTTACGCTACCTGAGCCAAAAATTTGGCATTTATTGGCTGGAAATCATGACCTTTATTGGCTCTTCAGCCAAGAAATCGTGATTTTTGTCAGAAAAAACGAAGAATATAATGTTTAATCGCACTCTTACATTTCTTCCGTTTCAAAACTATACTTTGAGCAAAGAAAGTGCTTTTTTTGACGGAAAATTAGCGAAAACATAGAAAAAAAATGCAAAAAATTTGGGAAAAATTGTAAAAAATAAAAAATCGCCTAAGGAAATTATAGTGAATTTCGGAAATTTTAATTTTTGGAGGCTTAGAATGCCAGTGGATACAATTTAAAATTGATTTGACAGCTAGAAAATGAGATTTTTCGAAATTAAAATTTTGGCGGGAAATTTGAAATTCAAAAATTTTTTGAAATTATTTTATCGATTCTTGAGGTGGAAAATGAAAATTAGTTACTTATATGTAATTTAGTTTAAGAACATGACCATTTACGAAATTTTTTTTTGGCTTCTGACCTTATATTATACTTGACGTCAAGAGCTATCAAAAATAAAAAAATGATGACGAGCAAAAAAGAAATACCAGTTGTAATGTCCTCGTCGACGGTTTATATAACGTTCTTCCCAGACAAAACTACAGTAATCTTTGTGGGGCAAAATAAATAAACTTTTTGCGAAAAACCCGGGAAAATATTTGGGGATCAGCTCGGATGAGTCAAATCCAATGTCCAAACCAAAACAAACCTCGAAAAAATAGCGTTTTTCGGCTTAGCGGAGATACGGTCATAAGCGCAGAATGTGATCAATGTATTGAAAAAAAAGTATAACGCCTTTAGGGCATCTATGAAGTTGCTTATCGGCATTAGAAGAAAGGGTAATGTCGTCCGTAAACATGCCCTTTGAAAGCGTAGAATTACGTGCGGCTTATGGGGTGTCAATAATGCGGTCATGAGTGTGGAAGTTGCTGAAACAAAGGGCAAAACTATTTCGTAAATTGCGATTATAAATATGGAAAGTACTCCAAGTGCGATGGGTCAGATTTTGATGAAACTTGGGACAAATTTAGAATACTTTTTTCTATGAGATATACGAGATTTCTAGAGATTTCCAAGCTCGCGCTTTGCAGAAACAACCGAGATTTTTTGATGAAAAGTTGGCGAAATTTTGACGCTCTTTGCCAAAGTTCGGCACGAAAAGTTTTATGTTTATTTCTACTATAGACGGTAATGTTTCCACAAAAAATTGATCTTTTCCGCACAAAACTAGCAAACATTTGGCCAAAAGAAGTGTTTCTTCCCTCCAATTGCTCTCCTTGTTTCGCGTAATCTCTCGGCAGCAAAGATCTTTCAATATCTCGGCTGGAAAGCGCGAGCTAAGACTTTCAGGAATTGATATGTAGCCTTTACGCAACATGTACATTGCCTGTATATATCAATCTGTCGGAAAAATAATGAGCGCGGACGCATCAAAAATCGTATCGCCACCGAGAAAGTGAATTGTGTCGCTGCAAAGTTAAATTGCTTTTCATTTCGAAGACGCTATTATCGCAGCAATATTGGGCTCAGTATTTTTCCGACAGACTGATGACAAATACACGTACAACAAAACCTGTCTACAACGAAGAATTTCAGAGGTCCCAAGGATCGCACACCTCGGTATAATCTACGCAAAATTCTAAGACTTTTGGACCACACTTTTATGAGTCTCAGACCGACCGGTCGAAAGATACGACCGATTTTTGAGACTTTTCCGGTATTTTCCAATTTTTACCCGGAAGGTGACGGAATTTCTGGGTTTCTAGGATTCTGATGGTAGTATTCGATGTAGCACGTACAAAGTTGCCTACGTACATCGATCCCGCATACCGATACGGATGTTCGCGAAAAAAAAGGAATTTTTGTCTAAAAATTTTTGCACAATATCTAACAAAACTCCATTTTAATGACTGAAATTCAGCATTCTGATGGCACAATTGAATCCGAACATATAATTTGAACTAGATACGTGCTCCATTCATCACATTAGCGTTTCGTATTTTAGATACTAAAATTTCTTTGAGGAAAAACCGACAAAAATTTGCATGATTTTTTCTGAACTGAAAATAAATGGAAAATATTTTGATCGATTCGGCCTATAGAATAATCTCGAAATGCGGCAACTAAAAAAGGTAATTTTGTCGATTTTTCCTCTTAGAAGCTTACTTGCGGCATGGTGTCAGACTCCAAAAAAATACAGGTGTACCTCAGAATATTCCTAGAAGCGACAACCAACTTTTCAAAAAAACTTGAATAGCTAAAGTACGAAAAGCGACAAACATTGAGTTATTCAGAGACGCCGAATTAAACGCAATCAAAGAAACCCCGAAATTCCGTCACCTTCCGGGTAAAAATTGTAAAATACCGGAAAAGTCTCAAAAATCGGTCGTATCTTTCGACCGGTCGGTCTGAGACTCATAAAAGTGTGGTCCAAAAGTCTTAGAATTTTGCGTAGATTATAATAAGACCAAATTTTGTCCCAATATCTCGCATATAAAATTTTAGCCCGAGAAAAATCCGTGATGACCCGACCTTTAGAAGCCTCGTTTGCAACATAGGCAGAACGCCTTGCGATGACCTATATACCGTTTGAATTGTCGATTCATGGAGCGTCATTTAGAGCAATAAAAAGGACGTCCCGATATGCAAATTTTTTTAGAAAATTTAAGAAATATAAATTTTTTGCCAAATATGCAAATTTTTCACATACTTCCAGAAGTCCTAGGAAAAAGGTGTCAATACGAAAGTTGCTTAGAATTGTCCATTCTATAACACAGAGAAGGTCCGGAGGGAATCCAACCTCTCGTGGCTGAGATCCTGGAAATGCGGGAAAGCTACAGTACACCTACAGCAGGCCAATAATCACAAAAAAATTTTTCTGAAATTTAGTACTTGCGGTAAGGGTAACATATGGTTAGTGTTTCATGGCTCTACTGTGACATCCTGTTTCATGTGCACAGCTAGCTCGACCCTTACAAAAAAGCTGTTTTAAAAATTTATACCCAGAACTCGAAGAGAGACCATCTACTATACTATACTTCCTCTGTAAATTTGAAAAAAATTACCAGCCCTATATTTTTCATACAGTCAGCTCTTTAGTTACGCTTTGACTGATCCTTATAAAGTCACTTTAAAATTGTAAAAAAGGCTCTTCTGACCTCACTGTTTCCTTCC